CTAAATTACACCCTAAACCCACTTAAATCCTAGTTCCTAGCCCAAGCCCGCTGGATGGGGAACCTTGACGTTCCTCGCCTGCGGCTTGCCGTCCTGCAAGTGCTGAACTGATTGCTCAAGGCTCCCATTATCACCCCCTTGCAGCTACTGTTCCAACTCTATGTAGACCTTCTCAGTACCCAAGACTCAGTTGCCATATGAACATTTGTACATATGTATAATGTATATATAATATGTATATATAAATATTACATATTATATATTGTATTATATATATATATATATACTTATGCACTTACTTACATAGATGCCTATGGAACTGGGCTGTGAGCGCACCCAGATCCCGAAACCCGTGTAAACCCTAAACCCCAAACCCCTAGCTCTATACCCTATAAACCCCTAAACCCCTAGCTCTAGCTCTATACATCCCTAAACCCCTAGCTCTAAACCCTATAGACCCCTAAATCCCTAGCTCTAGCTCTATAAATCCCTAAACCCCTAGCTCTAAACCCTATAGACCAATAAACCCCTAGCTCTAGCTCTATAAATCCCTAAACCCCTGTCTCTAAACCCTATAGACCCCTAAACCCCTAGCTCTAGCTCTATAAATCCCTTAACCCCTAAACCCCTAGCTCTAACCCGAATGAGGATTAAAAACTGGGTTGAAACGCCTTTCGAGAGGGCCTTGGGACGTGTACCCCAAAGGGTGGATGTACCAAAATAGGGCTCCTTTAAGAACTCCTTCCAGGGCGGTTACTTTAGGGTTCCTTCAAGGGTGACTTTAGGGTTCGTGTAAGGGTTCTATAGGGTTTGGGGTACAAGGGTCCGTGTACCCACATAGTAGATACTTTGGCATCAAATAATATTTGTATAGGGACTACTTTAGGGCCAACGTAGACACTATATGAATACATGGACCCTTAGGGTACGGGACAGAAGGCCTGATTGAGCCATAATGTGACCTCTACCAAAAGCGTCCTTGGTCAGTACCGACTCGAAGAAGCATCCAAGGCCTGACAAGATCATGTCGTTCGCAGGCTTGGGTGCTTGATTGGCTTATCAGGCTCGGGCTCTTGAGTTGCTTGAGCAGCATTCCGCTTTGAGGCCGCTGTGTATGTCCTCGTTTGGAAGTAATATTTAATCAAAGTTGCATCCGTCTAGGCATCAGCGGTCGGTGCCCCTGCAGGGTCGGACATGCGAACAAAATCCCGCATGCTCATGTCATAAATCCCGAAAGATCCCGAAACCCAAAACCCTACAGACGAAGCTGAGTCGTTGCAACGGTTGATGATTCAAATCCTGAATTACTCATAATAAGAAGTATATGGGAGTTATGAGATATTCCTAAGTACGGGTAATGCAGGGTTTGTATTTATATATATATATATATCATCAACCGATTGACCGAAATAGTAATGCGTCAGGTCATAGATGCCATACTCAGAATGGGCTTCCACTACCCAAAGCCCTTGTAGAAGCCCAGCACAAATCCAAATAGACTCTGTCTTCTCAGAGCCGTAGTATGACAGAAACCCTAGACATGACATAACACAACTTGTAATTCCGTGCCAACGACAACCCTAAACCCGTAAAACCTAACCCTAAACCCATCATGGGGAGGCCCCTAACAGCCCAAAAGCCCTGAAGATTTCCTTATAGAGCCCTTAGAATGCACTAAACCCAAAGGCACTTGTAAGGAAACGGGGGAGGCCTGTCAAGGAAAAGAAATCTTCTGTAGTTCTCTCATAGAACCTTTAACTACACTATATCAGCCCTGAATGCACCCTCAGGGCTGAGCCTGAAAAGAGATACCTTTGAAACCCTAAAGCCCTGCAAATCCCTCCTTTATTCATTCCCAGAAACCCTAAACCCAAAAGCCCTAGAGACGGAGGAGGCCTTTCAAGATCTCTTATATCACTTTTTTAAATCAAGGATCCCTTTAAGAACAAAAGCTTAACTAACCCTGAAACCGCTTGTAACCTTAGGGGTGACAATAGCCCCAAAAGCCTTAGATAGCAGGGTCTTTGGGCCCAAAAGCCTTAATATATGGGTCCTTAGATCCCGGTGGAGGCCTCTCAAGGAAAAGAGATCTTCGCCCACATTGATCTGAAGATCCTCCGGCCTCGGGAGTCAAAAACACTCGAAAACCTTGCGCAAATTAATTACGGCTTCGGGTTTCGAAACTTTCTAGAGGCTGAAAGCTACGAAGGATGAGAGCTTCTAGCTTTCTAGCTTGGCCCTCGGGATTAGTTCGTACTCTTATAAGGCCCTGCAACGGGAAACATCATGCACACAAGCATATATATATATATATATACATATATATATATATATACACATATGTATATATATATATAGATGTGTACATACATATATGTGTATACACATGTAACTTAACCTAGGCCCTGCAACACACCCAGTTACACCGTCCATCATCATGGAATGCTTCTAGTATCCTTACAGATTTCCAGGAACGCCTGTCTGTGTGTGTATATATACATATATGTATCTCTCTCTCTCTCTCTCTGTTAGGGTCTCTTGGCCTTTTGAGGGCAGAGCTCAGATCATGTGGAGCTTGAAAGTACTGCCTGGAAACTTCAGAAACACGACCCTAGATCCTAAACCGTTCACAATCCGGGTTTAGCAAAAACGATTCTGACACGACTTATGGCATGCACGTAGAACCTACCAATCCCATCTACAAAAAGAGCGTCTCCTGATAGCCACATAAACTCGATCGAAAGTCCGCGGCAGCTTTTTTTGCTGAAGGCCCGCGGCTTCTTGGGCGAAGGAGGGTGCTCAGGCTCCGGTGGCGATTTGAGCGCTCCAGGATCTAGGACTGATGTCCCTCGGCATTTTGCTGGGTTGGAGTCTTGCAAGGCCCCAAAACTATCTGTGAATAGGTACTTCTATTTGACCCTGAGCGGGAACCAGAAAGTTCTTTTCCAACGGGAGCCGCGAAGTTTAGGGTTGCAAGAGAACCAAAACCCACACCTGATCGAGACCATCGAGCCACAACACCTCGAAAACCTCGTGTGGAAGGGCTTGGAAGGGCAGAAGCAAGTCTGGCCATGCCGTGTTCATACCTCCATGGCGCAACTTTCACACATGCTTTCCAGTTCTCTAGTCATACCTAACTGACGAAGACTACTGCTAATACAAACAGTGATCCAACAACAGACGCCGTGAGGGAACCCTCAGCCCGATATTGTTGAGGGTTTAGGACTACAGTAGAAGCCAGAAAGTTGGAATATCATTATGGTAATCCCTTTAAGGTAAATTATAGGGGATCCTGCCATTATTCCATATTCCAACTTTCTGGAGTTCCCTTTAGGGGTTTAGGGGTATAGGGTTTACCTGGACCCTAAAGAATCCACCTTTTTTTAGGGTTCCCTATTGTTGCTTCTTCATATGTGACCTTGAAAAGGTAAGTTATTTGGGGTTAAGGCGTACCCTAAACCCTCTACCCTAAACCCCTCAACCCTAAACCCCTGAAACCCTAAACCCCATAGGCTTTGCTCAAAAGTATGCCGAAGATGCCGTTCGAGACCCTGAGCCACTGGAGAAAAACTGCAAGGTCCTAGCGTCCTACCGAGAATATCCCAAGGATCCACGGTGCCTCAGGAGCTAGCCCCAAAAAGGTTGACCTTCTTCCAATTATGGTACGGATTGTATAAATCCCAAACTGTTAAAGGTTGCCTACTCAGCTACGAAAAAGTGAGAAGAACCAGTACTCTTTACAATTCCCTAGGGCTCCAGCTATTCAAATAGTAGGTTGCTAGCCGTCTATTTTTCTGAACCAGCTAGGCAACTGGAGCCCTAGGGATTCATGAAGGTACGTATACGTATGAGGAGCCATTCTGATTCAAGGTATTTCGGCTAGGATCGTAGGAGCTGTAGCTTAGATTTCAGTGAACGGCATACGGAGGCACTTGGATCCCGAGGGAAATGGGTTCCCTGCATGGAGCAGATAAGTTTCGGGCTTCGAACCCGGAAACCTGGAAAAAAAACGCAGCATCGAGTTTGGCATTTGGGGTTTAGGGTCAAGGGCTTTATAGAGTTTAGGGTGTAGGGCTAGGGCTCGAGAACACTAACTGAGTGACCGGACAACATGATGGAGATCCGCCAAAGCATTGCGGCCAAAACCTTACGGTAATCTACCAAAACCTGCTTTTGTGTAGGTCCCGATTATAAACCCTAATATGGAACAGGGTCTAGGGAGGTAGGGCTTAGGGTAAAAGGCTTCGCAACTGACCATTGACTTTCCAGTGCTTAGGAGGGAATAGGGGAATGGATCCGATCGTAGTGCATATATAATCCTCACTTATCGTCTAAACAATCCATCCCCCATTCCCTACAAAGAACCGGGCAGTTGATGTGAGATTCTCTTTGAACCGAGGGTGAGGGATTGAGGGTGGGTCTTGGTTTAGGGCTTAGGGTTTGGATTTAGGGTCTAGAGGGTTCAGGGTCGGGAGTTTCGGGTTAAGGTCTCGGTTTAGGGGTTTAGGGTCAAGGGTTTAGGTAAAATGCGTGGGTGACCTGACTCGAAGCCCGTATGTCAAATCGTGCCATTCGGCAACGAGAGATCATGTTCTTTGCGCAAGCGAAACCCTGAAATACCAACTAGTACTAATTGAGCACAAATTGCAAACATGACCCTAAAAGCAACAACCTACAACATCCGCATGAATGTAAGCCTTCGAGCTGCAGACCACCCTTCGCAAAACCTTAAGGACCGTGCACCCTACCACCTGACCCCCAATATCTTACCGGTTCTTGCAAGGAGAGAAGCAACTGTTGCCTTCTTTTCCAGGGGCACTTACAGTAAAGCTTGGAGTCAGATGCTAAAACCTACCCATAGTCTCCATTGTAGTTCCTTTTTTCGGTTAACGAACATCTCGATTATAGGATCCTAACCGTATAACTGGTTAACCACAAAAAGGAACTACTATGGAGACTGTAGGTAAACCAAAGCCCTTGAAACTTGGAGTTAAAAAGCCTTACCAGGCCAACGATGCATCGGCAGATTCCTCTGAGGAGGACGGCTCGATCTGCCAGACGATTTTTTGGCGAAGGGTGCAGGGTTCAGGGTTCAGGGCGTTTCGCTTTTCATGTGGTTTCAGGGTTTTGCTTCGCTCGACCATTTGCCATAATTACACTTTAGGGCTACTTGCACACTGACGGTCGTAGTACGCGTGTCCACAACCTAACAGCAGCAGCGATGAGGAGAACATGCTAAACACATCCTAAACAAGAAGCAATATGTTGCATCCGACTCATGAACGTAAGCTTAGGAAGTTTAGTGTTCAGGCCTCAGGGTCTGCATGGTTTATAGGGAGATACCTACCAGGACCGTCCTTGTACCCTCAAAAAGGGGCATATGGTCCCAAATTGAAGGTATTTAGAGTTACTGTAATAGAGGGTGCATGGAGGTTCTAGGTATGTTCTACTGGGTCATGGGCACTATAAGGTTTAATACAGGAATTGCAGGAGCAGTAGTCCACTATATCAGCAACTGGGCTTCTAGGGCAAGGATCCTGTGTGAACACTAGGTCTCAACAAGGCTGAGAATTTCATGGTGCTTCTTTCTTGCAGGCTTCCAATAGAAAGCCCTTCGAGGCCCTTTGAACACAGAAACTACGAGACACTTATCTGCAAATCCCTCTGCCACCTCCCTGCTTTATCTGAACCTTTTATGTCGAAAGCATCGAACACCAGCCCCGAACAAGGACCTGAACCCACAATCTCACAACCCTGTTCGGACCTTCTTTTGACACAGGGTTGGTGCGATAGGCAAGATGGGGAATTGTGAGACAACACTAAAGTTAAAACTGTCTCCAAGTGACACCCTCGCAAGCCTATAGAACACTTTAGCCTTCGCCCTAAACTTTAGACCAGTCAGAATGCGTGACCTTGTTAAAACTGCACAATACTACCGCAAAGTACAGAAAGTTGGAACATGGGTTACGGATGACTCGTACTAGGATTTCTTATACTGTACCTTAAGGCCATGAGTAAGCTTGACGATGTTCCAACTTTCTGGCTTCTATCATGACCCATGCACCCCACTATACTGGAAATGCACAAGGCCAACCAAGCAGCCCATAGAAACTGTGTCAGAGCCTTGTCGGCGTTGCCACCCACCATTTGTGCAAGTCGCTCCGCAACGCGCTTCTCCTAAATGGAGGAAACAGCTCTTGAAAGCAAGGCTTGCACCCGAATCCCCCTAGCTCTGAACCCTGACCCTGAACCACGAAGCCCTGACTCAATCCTAAACCTTACACCCTGAACCCTAATGTATGGACCTGACTAAGGAACCTTGGGCCTATAACCCCACAATCATATAAGGAACCTTAGTAGAGGCCCAAGGTTTCTTAGTCAGCTTCCTACATTAATCTGGGTGGTTGTCAAAATTATGGTCGTTTTTTGGGGTCCCTCATATAGTACGGCACCGAATCTTTAGGATACCCAAAAAGGGACCCTAATTTTGACAACCACCCATCTGATGATGCAGGTCGATGTCAGGATCCTCGGGCCGCAAGGCCTATAGACCGGCCTAACGGCGCGGGTTCAGGGTTTAGGGTTTAGGGTTAGAAGCTGCCCCCACCCTGTAATAGTGGTATAATAGGAATATAATAGGGCCCTAATATAATCCATATAGTCACTATTACAGGGTGGGGGCAGCTTCTAAGTTTAGGGCTTCAGGGTAAGGCAGGATTTATATCATCAACCGAATTGAGAAGCCTGTATTGGAGGGTACGTTGGTCTCTCTGGTAACTTCGCATCTTCTTCGATGGGCATGCTTCAGCCGAGATCCCTCAAAACACCCTTGTTGGGGGGTCCGGTTGTTTACCAAGCAGGGGTTTAGGGTTCGCAAAACATGACAATACCATAGGTCCAGCAGCATAGGAAGAGACCTAAATCGTGCATTCCGTGGCTACTCCTGATTTTGAGAACCTCTCATGCGGTGGCAACAAACGATATAAAGCTCATCTATCCACACTTTCTACATAGGGTTTGAGGAGCTCACTTTGCAAGGTATTCTGGCTTTCGGGGCTGATGGAAGCTGGATCAGGGCTTTTGGGTATAGCTAAGACCATATACGGGCTGTAACGGGACATGATTCCTATTTATTCTACTCATGAGCCCCCCCCCCCCCCCACTTCCCCAACTGTTGTCGTCCTATGCTTCGATGGCAGGGGGCTAGGGTTCAGGGCTTCGGGGTTAAGTCCATAAGCAGTGCGCAGCATACTGAGAATGCATCTCGGAATACATAATACCGCAAGTCTCTAGGGGGCTACGGAAGGCTCATTCTTCTGAGTTTGGCTGGTCTCGGCTGGCCAAACATGAAGGAAGACCTTAACCCCCAAAGCCACCCTCGACAGCCTTCTTGTGCTTCATGAGCATCATCACGGTCTGCAACACATGCCTCGCGGGAAAGGATGGCCACTCTTGTCCATGGTTTCGCTGAGCAGGGTCAGGTTTAGTTGTTGAGGCTTCCTAAAACTCCAAATTATACTTGGCGTCTAATATGATGGGCCTCACATCATAGTGAGCTGCGCGGACTCTGAGGGTTTAGGGTTGAGGTGGGTTTGAGGTTCAGGGGTCTTGTGTTTAGGGGTTTTAGGTTTTCCTGCTGGCCCGCTTGGCGCCGCGAGCAGGTTCAACCAAACTACAGGCTCTAGCGGCTAAACCCGAAATCGTACCTATAGTCTCCATTGCAGTTCCGTTTTTTGGGGCTAGCAATCTTTTTGGTTAGGATCCTGTGATGTAACTTTGGTTCACCAAAAAAGGAACTGCAATGGAGGCTACAGGGAAGCCCTAAGGTCCATGTAGCCAAATAGTATATACTTTGGCCTTAAAGTCATCCTTATATAGGCATATACCATTTGGGTACATGGACCCTTAGGGTAAGTCTACTCAGTGCTCATGGCCTTTGGGGCGAAAGGCCGCGGGCTTCGGCTGCAGACTTCCACCCCGGACTGAACCCGAACCCCATGAAACCTCAACCCCTTTCCCCTACTAAGGGATCTATAGGGCTCCTTCAAGGTATCTCTGGGGTTTAGGGTCTACTTGGAGGCCCAGGGGACTTAGTAAGTCGGTAAGTAGGATTATCATTGGGGTAACTCCAGTTAGGGTCCTAATAACTCTACTTTGAGCCTACTTGCTAAGCCCCCTATAGTAAAAGCCAGAAAGTTGGAACACGAGTATCCTCGTGCCCGTAAGGTAAAGTATAAGAGATCCTAGCACTAATCCTCCTAAACCGTTGTTCCAACTTTCTGGGATTCGCTATAAGTAATGCTTTGAGACTGTCCCAGATCGCTAAGGTTCCGAATTTTAAGTTAGAGTTAAAGCTTTGGGTCAGGCACGGGCAGGCTCATGCTGAATTCGCCCTCACTAAAAAACTCAGAAGTTGAGCTCCAGTGTGTCCAAGAGACTAACTCATGCCAGAATAAGCCATAAACAACATCCAAAATCAACCCTCACCTAACCCGTTTACTAAAGCCCAAGCAAAGAGACCAACGAGACCAACATACCCCTGTAACCCCCCCTCCAAACCACAAGTACGAACACACGCAAACACACGAACCCAGAACCCTAAACCCTAAACCCTCTCTGCAAGAAGACCTTCGCCAGGCTGGCAGAACCACAAGTGCAATGATAGCAGCACCTGAGGCATCCGAGCCACTCAGGATCTTCGCGAGGGCAAATAATCATAACTGGTTAAAGATAAGTCTGTATATATATATATATATGTGTGTGTGTGTGTGTTATCTACATACATTCACATAACTATAAGCACGTTTGTAGATGACGAATGGGTCTGTTTTTGTGGGATGTTAAAGATGCCTGCTGAGTTCAGGTTGTTCATTCGTACACAAGTCCCATACGGACATGGACCATCGAACGAAGGCCTTCCTTGGATGACGTTCTGACTACTTAAAGGATCCTGGGACTTAGTAACTGGGGGTTAGGGTCCCTTTAAGGGATCTAAAGGGGTACTATAAGGGTTTAGGGTTTAGAGTACTTAAAGGATCATGGGACTTAGTAACTGGGGGTTATAATTAGGGTAACTAACTATACTTATAACCCCACGTAAGGTACTTGTAACCTTACTTACTAAGTCCCGTATGCCGGTATGCCACGATATTACAAAGCAACATATGAAGCATCAGCTAAGTCAAGAAGGAAGCTCCCGTTATCCTGCACATCGTTTTTGGTGCCTTATTGAAGTCTTAGAATTGAGGAGTCTGAATCTGAGTGTAGGACTGTTCCTTTACAGATGTACGCTCCGAAACGACGAAATTTAGGACTTGAGCTGAGAAACCCTGAAACCCGAGGATTTTAGTTTAGGGTTCAGAGTGCAGGATTTAGGGTGTATTTTGGTATTTTTGAGCTTAAAGTTTCTTGGCTCACCGGCAACACCCTGAAATTCTGAATGCCAAATCCTACACTGTATCTTCAACATCTTGCTAAACACGCTTTCACGGAACTCCAAGCCGTAACGCTTCAGGGCTTTGGGGTTTAGGGCTTAGGGGATTAGAGCTTGGGATTAGGGTACATGTTGCTAAAGCTGTAAACCATAAGGAGCTCTACAGCATGATGTTAGAAATTATTCAGGCAGCCCTAAACCCTCAAACCTAAAACCTTCATCAGCCCGCAACCCTGAATTGGCCCTACGTACCCTCGATTCCGTCAGCTCCCACAACTTTGTTGCCCAGGCGCCCACGACTTTGGAGACCTGGAATACACGGTGCTACGGTTGATGATATAAATCCTGCATTACCCATAATAAGGAATATACCATAACTCCCATAATTTCCATAGTTTAGGGTCCTTAGGGCAATGCAGGATTTATATCATCAATCGTAGCGGGCTCGGGCTCCAAGTGATCTTCACAAGGTTGGAACACGGGTTAACGAGGATTAGTGCTGGTATGGTACTTAAGAGGCATGGGGATGCTGATGTTCGAGCTTTCTGGCTTCTACCCTGTACAGCCGAAGCTTGGATGTTTAGGTTAGGGTGCATAATGTAGAGTGTCGTGTTAGGGTTTTGGGTCTACAGATGGAGTGTAGGCTTCGGGATCAGGGGTTCAAGGTTTGGGCTTTTTGATGTTCGGGGTGTTGGCTTTAGGGTTTCGGGTATATGGCGTTTAGGGGGCTTTAGATTTACTTGGTGTCTGCCTCGTAGTCGTAGATCACCCACAAGTGTCCATTCTGTCGCAGGCCGTGAACCAAGCTCGGCGAGCTCGGTAAGTGTTCGGGGGATGAAGATGCGGCCGTGCCTGGTCGGCATCCGTCCTTTCGCCGTGACGGCGGGCTGAGATGCCTCCAGGTCATCGTCGTCATACTCGCAGCGGAAGGAATCAAACATGTAGCAACGTATCCAATCTTGACAGGCTGTACGTGTGACGAAGCACCAAACTCTACGAATCAATCGGCCCCGGGTAGGCATCGATACATAACACCTCACTGGGGGCTACCTAGCGGCTACCCAAGATCTCGTCACATTCCAACAAAGGGGCGATGACCACTCGCTCCAGCTCGAAACACGCGCCATGTCCCTCCTGGGAATGCTGCCAGTGCAAAGTAGTCCATGTGGGAGGCAACCATACGCGCCGTGCTGAAAAGTATGCCCGAGCCACAATATGATTCCTCAACAACTAAGTGACTGCACTATCCCCATGAATGCCTGCGGAAGATGTCAGGGCCTTAATAATTGGACTAGGGCTTTGGGGTTTCTTGCTATAGTATAACATACCCACAAACCCTATTCACCTATTCTACTCATATATTAAGGCCCCAGAAGTACACCCTAAAACTCCTTACTATAGAGCCTGAAAGGAATTCCAGATCGAAGTCGATTCTGCTGTAGACCATGGCATCAGCGGGGACAGGCTTCCTCTACGGGCTCCTTGCAGGCTTCTCGAAGGATACTAAAGGGTGTGGGGCTTGGGATCGATGGTTAGCGCTTCAGGTCTTCAGGGAATAGCTAGTGACTATGTGGAGTGTAGTGACTGGGTTGTAGTTTTGGGGCTCTGAAAAGTATTTATGAATAGGTACCTTTACAGGAACCATAAGGGAAATTAAAAAGTTTCCCAAAATGCCACCTAGGTGAGTATTTGGAGTGGTCAGGCCTCCGCTCCTCCGTAGTACAAATCAAAACTTGCACCCCTGACGTCCATTAAACCTCAAACCCTACATGTGTTGCTTGGAGGGTCGGGCGACTTAGTAACTGGTAATTGTAAGGACTTATAAGTACCATAAACCTAATGAGGATCCCTTTTAGGGTACTTATAAGTCTACTTACTACCTACCCCCCAAGTGTTCTCAAATCTCTCAAGAGAAGACGCCAATACATGCCCAGCATTCATCCTCAAGAGCCCTTGGCTAACTTAGGAGGCCTCGCTATTGGGGCTTCGGGCTTCAATGTAGCAACAAGTATGGTCTTTGGGCCCAGGAGCCCTAAACTTTGTATGAGTAGCTGAACAGAGCCTTGAAGAAAGAAGGTGGTTGCTGGGACCCCCTGCCAGTCTCTGAACTTCATGCTCATGGTAGATCGAGGCCACGGCTTCCTGGAGACTTGTTTAGTGCGCTGGGTGCATGGGCTTAGGGTCTCGGGGTTAGGAGTTCCTGGATTGAAATTTGATGCTTTGGGTGCTTGAAGAAGACTTATGGCGCTAGTCTTAGAAACAACCTGTACGCAGTTCATTATGAAACCCTTCGAGAGAAGGTGCTGGCCGTTCTCTTCTCACCGGTGCCTCTTGTTGGTACCCACTTTATCTGGCGGGTCTCTGCTTTTCAAGGAGAATGAGCACACCCCAAAAAAGCACTCGCCAGCACGGTCCCTTCGAGTTGTTTGGAGCTTGGGGGGGTAAAGCCATACAGAACAAGTCAAACACTTGCAGCTTCAAGTAGCTTCGTGAACCTCGAATGTGCCTACTTGAACCCTTCTTCAACATTGGAACCCGAAACAAGCACTTATGCCCGGGACCTTAAATCCTAAACCCAAGGGCAGAAAGCCTGTTAGCACTGCAACATCCATGCACGCAAATGCAGTCCGAGTCGCCGTGCATCCGTCCACCACATGCTCCCATGTAAAGCCGATCAAAATCGATAAGCCCGTCACGAAGTTTTTCACCTTGAGGCTTGATAGGCGCTTTCAACTGCTGGGTTATAAAATATGTTTAGTATAGTATATTAGGTTTGGGGACCCATGGGGTTGACTAAGGATATCGAACCCTACTTGGAGGATCGTGGGACTTAGTAAGTAAGGTTATAAGTACCTTAAGTGGGGTTATCAGTATAGTTACCCGAATTATAACCCCAGTTACTAAGTCCCATGATCCTTTAAGTAGTTGACCTGTCTTTTCGGCGCGCCTTGTTCTTCTGAACAGTCCTTGAACAGGTGAGGCTTCGGCTTCACGTCGGAATACTATACAGGGAACTCCAGAAAGTTGGAATATGGTTTCATGGTAGGATACCCTATAATTTACCACAGAAAGGTTAGGATAATTATATTCCAACTTTCTGGCTTTTACCTTAGGGCTTCGCTAGGGCCGAGGGTTTCGCTAGTTCCACGGTGGCTTACTTGTGCCGCTGCCCGGGAGCCAATGGCAGTCATTTAGGAACTCATAATTCTGAGAGGCGTGCGGGGCTTCCTGCAGGGTCAGGGCACGTAGTACCAGCTGAACATCACAAACACAACCACTGCGAGTGACAAAAGCTCGAAGCAGACTGCCGCTCAAGGCTTCTGGATGTTTGAAGTTTCGGCTCTGGCTGGAGGGCCAGGGCACTTCTCAAGCAGAGTACACTTGAGGTTCCAAGTACCTGCGCATTTGCGCCCCTGCTTACAACCTACCCTGGTCCCTGAAGCAGCTTCAGGATCGAGCTGTTGGGTTGAGGCTCTGAACCCTATGCGTCTTTCATTCTGACCCCCAACAAGATGGCCACATCTGGATTCATACCGAGACGAAACATCAACAGGATGAGGAACCCTCCCCTATCCACTACGCTTCTACTTAGTGGCTCGCTGGAATTCGCCGGTAGGCCTACAATTTTGGGTATAAGTGCCCGAAGCAGATTTGTCCTAAACATAACACCACTTATCTTGGCCGACTTCTGAACCCCTCCTAAAAGTTAAACTTTGAGCCTCCTCAGTTAGTTTGTATAGAAACCCCAAAAGTCTAAAGTTAAATTCCTAAGAGCCAACCGGAAGAACGCCAAGTTATAACTTCACTTACTAAGTCACAGGAGCTTTCAAGTACCTTCCGAATGGGCACCCGGGCACCCCCTGCACTGGCTCTTTAGAGTACCTAAGCCCCGCCTGGTACATCCTTAGTTTTCAAAAGCAGTGTATACTTCTTACACGCTTATGCCATAAAAAGAAAACCAGAACCTGACTCCAATTCTCAGGGCCCCGAGATGAATCAACAAAGAGAGTCAAGCCCTACTACAAAGACCCTATTCCAATCATTAAGGCCCCTTTACCAAATCCGCACGAAACCAAAATACGCCCCTGGAACACGTGGACGGCCTAAACCTGCACACACGAAACCCTACATCATCTCCCAGACTAAACCAAAACCCTACACCATAAATTAAACCTGCACCCTACCCAGACCCCCAACTACGCTCTAATCTACCCAAATACCTAAATTATTGAAGGGCCATAAGAGATCTATTAAAGGGGCCCTTGAAGGGCGCTTGAAGCTCTCCCTATTCTACTCAGTGAATACCCTCCTTGGGGAGTGGTTGAAGCCGAGGCCAGGGCTACTTTGTGGGCCAGTCGCTGGTTTGTGGAGGTGTCCTGCAACTGCTCCGGTGGGGTGAGGGGGGGGGGGGCTTTCTACGGCTTTTACAAAGCTAAATGCGGAAATCCTGAACGACTTGATATTGCTTAGAACATGGTTTCTCACGGCTTTATGGGGTTCACCTCAGCATGTGAGACCTCAACCAAGACAACAAGGCTTCGGGATAAATAATCGTGAGCGGGACCGCAATGGAATACTACTACAAGCTACCCCTTCACCAATTCGCAACAGGGTGTGACATAAGTTTCGAACCTAGTGTGCAAGGGAGGTTTAGGGGCTTGGGGCTTTGAGTTTGGGCGGTGGCGTTTAGGGACTAGGTGACTAGGTTGTCAGACACTGTATGATCCAGAATGTGCCATGCTACATGCTTCAGCTGGATTGTGACAGCTTGGACGCTGGAACTTGTTTGAAGCAGTACGTAGTCCCCAACGACACCACTTGTGGTGAACACAGCAAGTCCAATGCCCCTTCATCCTGGAATTTACGGCAAGAATTCCCTAAGACTTGCCCGAAGAATCGAAACCCCTCTAGTACCTTGTTTGGATGACTTGGTTGACGGTTAATACAGAATAGTTCACACCTACAGGTGTACCAAGAAAGTCGTGAAACCCCAAATAACACTACATTAGAGGCTAGATTTCTGAGTAGCCCCCTTATAATAAAGGTGCACTTCTCCTACTGGCTTTACGGGAACACAAAAAAAACAGGGGCAAACAATTACTACTCAGTCTCCAAATAAACCCTAAACCCCCATGGATCCCTTATAACTGGAACACTTTAATTTACGGATCCCTTATATAGAGCCCGTATAAGGAACCCTTCAAAAGGGCTACTACTGAGGAGGGTCTAGGAACAGGTAGGAAATCTGGGGAGGAGCGCTTGATGGGAGCAACCAGCAGCTCCTCGATCTTGTCCAGCAGGATGATGGCGAAGGCTGGGCAGGAGGCCGCAATGATTGGGTTTAAGGCTCATAGGGCTTAGGGGTTTAGGGGTCTGGGGTTTAGGGCTTTAGGGTTTAGGGGTTTAGCAGTTTAGGGGTTGAGGGTTTAGACTCAAGGGTCTCGTAGACCCCAGTATGTCACAGGCTGCATATGATGGCAGCTTCCAAGGTTTGGAACGCAACCAATGGAACTAAACCCTGGGCTCCCCATAAATTCACCGTTTAAGCCTTCGCCCCACAAGTCACGTGTGCACAGGGACCCCACAAAACCTACCTTCTTCGGGAAACATGTATAACAAATGCATACACACACTTACACGTAATTACACAAATAAATGAAAACCCTAAACCCTATAGCGCTCCCACAACGCACCCGCTAAAGTTGCTGGCAGGCGCAGTATTTCGGACTGTTTTCCTGCGTCGAAAGTTAGTTGCCTTGTCGATTTCACCAGTTTCTGAAGCGGTTCTGCTTCAGGAAGCGCAGTGCTCTCATGCTCCGGTTGTGATGAAAGCGAGTACACCACTGATACACATATTGCAACAGCTCAGGGTTCGCCCGAGGCTCGTTGCCGGGAAGGTTACCAGCAAGGCCAGGTGGAAGGGACTGCTGAAGATCAGTGCTACCTGAAGCCGAAGAACACGATTAGCCATATCTGTCGGAAGACAACACCACGTGGTGAGGGCACCGAAGCGACTCACAATCATGCGCTCATGCCGGCGTGCCAAGTCTTCTGTAGCGTAAGAGCGACGAAGACGTCCCAGTTCTTGTTTCAAGACTGAGGCCAGAGTAGAAAAGGAAAGAGCCAGCGAACAACCTCCACAAACCACACAACCCCCTGAGCCTAATCCCTTATCGGGCCTAGGGTAGTTGGGCCCCTTTGTCTCATGAGCCCTTATGGCAACCATCCGGTACACTTCTCGTTTTGTGCGTGTGCACCTGAGCTGGCATGTGCCATGCGACTCTTCTTTGCATCGGTCCTTGCGCAGGGGTCATGCTATTCGTAGCGTAAACCCTAGAGCCTGAACTCTATACTCAAAACCCTAAACCGATATGAAAGTTTTTGGGCGAGGCAAGTTTGGGGTTTCGAGGCCTTTAAGGGCTTCGGGTTTCGATGCCTTCAAGGGCTTGGGGTTTGGAAGCGTTTAAGGGTTTGGGACCCTAGAGTAAGGACGTGTCTGGGGCTTAGGCTTGGCAGTGACTTTCTGGATGTTTTGACGCGCTTCCAGGTACGTAATTACCCCCCAAACCGGGAAGCCGCCAGGTCGAAACCAAGAGAACGCAACAAAACACCTAAAAAAGAGCCCCGGACTCTTAGAGGCGCAGTCACCTGAAACCAGGCCTTGGGGTGTAAGAATCACTAAAACACCGGGCTCCTTATGGAGACGCTTAGCCCTATGTAAACCCTTGAAGCTCCAACAACCTTAGAACATTCACAAACAAACATGGTATTTCGGCTACATCCCTAAACCCTAAACCTTAAACCCTAGACCCTATATACCCTGAACTCTAAACCTTAAACCCTAAACCCACAGGTAAGCCCAAAACTCTGGGGCGACCACCCGCCAAGGCCGAGAGGAAGAGAGCGAGAAGAAGGCGTCCTGGAAAGGGCCGACGTTTCGGGTCCTTCAAGGGTCCCTTTAAGGGATCTATAAGGTTTCGGGGTTTGGGGGTTAGGGTTTATAGGGTTTGGGGTTTCGGGTTTGTTTTTCTTTTGAACCCTCTTTTCTCCCCGCCTAGGTTAGGTTGGTTGAATGCCACAGGTGGCTGAGGGGGGTACTGGGAAGCAATGCAGCACACATATAGCCACATAAACCAACTGATTAACATCAACCTAACTCAATCCCAGCTCCCCACTCATTCATGCGGAGTAGCCTCGACGCATGTACTCGGCTCAGCTCAGCATGGCTATCTGTTTCCCAGGGTATCAGAAGAGTACAACATTATGCAATACTGACCCCGCTGCCATGCAGACGCAGACAAATGGTTTGGGGTTTGGGGTTTAGGGTTTCGGGTTTGGGGACCTACTCGGGAACAGAGCTGCGAAGTTCATCCCAATCGATCTTTTTGCTCCAGGATTGGGGTTTTGTTGCAACACAAGGGTTCCACAGGCTGTAGCTATGTTTGTTGGTCTGGTTTCGAACTCTGAGTTGAAGTCTCATGTACCAGGTATCACTTAAAGGTCAGAGCCTGACTAATTACACATAGTATTCCTGAGGGTTCTCTGCAGGAATGTATGATTTACGCACCACAAGAAAACTTCTTCTACTGAAGAAGGGCGCCTTCAATAGTCGCCGGGGACACGCCGTGCTTGACCAGCATGTCCCAGGACCTTAGCAGTCTTGGGCTTACCTCAACCTGAATATAGGGTTTAGGGGTTTAGGGTTTAGGCTTAGGGTTCCTTATTATGATTTCATTATAGGAGTCCTTAGAAGGCAGGTTCTTCAGGGTCCAGGTATAGGTTTCGGTTTAGCGATAAGGATTTGATGTTTAGGGTTTCAGGTGTTAGAGGTCTTGAGTCTGCTCTGTAGGGTTTGTACAAGAACTACTTGGAGGTTCATGGGTAGTGAAAAGTGGGGTTATAAGTAGGGTAACTACAGCTTTAACCCATCTTAGGGGACTTATAGCTCCACTTATAACTACCCATGAACCTCCAAGAAAGGTAGTTATATGAGGGTTGGTAACTATAGTTATAACCCATCTTACAGGACTTATCGCTCCACTTTATGACTACCCTGAGCCTCCAAGTAAGGTAAAATGACACCACAACTGTTCTGACGAGGCCCTCGGCTCTCGTCCGAGGCGGGTTTAGGGTAGGGTTTAGGATGTAGGGGAAGTTACGGTTTAGGGTTTAGGGTTTCGGGTGTAGGGGAAGTTTAGGCTTAGAAGAAGGTGATATCCTCCAATGCGTTCCAGGTATACTTCGTCCAGGTATACTTCATTCTTCCGCCTTTTCGTTATAGCACATCCGCCGAGACAGCATGTAACAAACAAGCATACTCATCATGCCAGGCCAATGAACTGACCAAAACCACAACCACACGCCAGTGCAACGACGATTGCAACAATGACGACGGACGAGTATTGCCACCCCTTATCGATCTTTCACCAGCCACTGAGCCACAGCACCAAAAAACATATGGGTAGTTGTCTACATAGGGGTCCCTTTTAGGCATCCACAATATGTGCCGTATTATGATAGGGACCCGAACACGGACCAGAATTTTGACAACCGCCCGAGTATCGTTGAATTTCTGCCCTAAACCCTAAACCCTAAGCCGTGGCTCTGCCAGCAGACGGGGGAAAAACGACGTGGGTGCTATGCGTTTGCATCAGTTGCCATCCAAGCCAAAAACTCTACTACAGCATATTCCAGTATATCTTTAATATGTTATAGTATATGACTATAGCATATCGTTGTATTTCACAAAAAAATAAATTCCCCAACACGACAGCAAATACATTCTACAAACTAGTTTCGCAAATCCTGACAGCAACGGTCAGCTTACAAAGCCTCGCTGGCGCAACACTGACGAGCGAAAACATGCAAGAGCTAAGCCACTCACAATCCAAGCATCGACCAACCCTTCGAAGCACGCCGAAACCTTCAGTGCATGACCTGAACCCTCCTGGGTTTGAACCCTGCTGGGCAGCAAGCTCAAACATCCACCTCGAAGCGAAAAGAAGGCACCAAGCAAACGCCATTGAGCAGGTACCTTAGGCTTTAGGACTTTAGAGTTTAGGGTTTAGGAATTTAGGAGTCCCCTTCGGCTTCAGGGCCTTCGAGTTTAGGAGTTTAGGAACCCTAGACCTTATGATTTCAGGGTTCCAGCTTTGACTTGGAGGTTGGCGGGGTGACGGTCGGACGGAAGCACAGGGACGACGGAGGGGTATGAACTTGAGTCTGAAAACCAAACCGAAGATGATTTCGAGTGTGAGTATGAAGATGATATGATTATCAGAAGGAGCATGAGTACGAGCAGGAGCCTGAGTTTAAGCTTGATAGTGACTGTGTTCATATCTACAGACAGGATACAGCGAGATATACCAAACGCTTGAACCCTAAACCGTGAAACCACAACCTACGTAAACAACACCCGGTGCCCTACCCTAAGGCTCCTGGACCCCCCCCAAAAAGCCCATGACCCCTTCCGGAGCCTTTGGGTAGTCCCTAAACCCCTAAACCCTAAATATACCCTAAACCCTGTATAAACCCTAATTGAACCCTAAACCCTTATAGATCCCTTTAAAGGCAAATAAACCCTAAATTCAGCAGGTCACCTCGGACCAGATCCGCCAAACGCCGGGTGTGGCCAGAGAGGGCCACCGCAATTGTGACGACCTCAAAATTAGGGTTTAGGGTTCAGGGTTTGGGTCCGTATTATAATACAGCACCTGATATTCAGGGTACCCAAAAAAGGACCATAATTTTGACAACCACCCATTTGAAGGGATTTTCGTGTTTATGAGGGCTTACCAGGCTCCCTGAGAGGGACCTTTCATAAATCCCTTATGGCCCTTAAATAATGGGCATTTGGGGGGTATATTACAGGGTAGTTGGGGGTCTAGGTAGGGTTCGGGGTTTAGGGTTTAGTTTCGTTTAACGGGTTCAATAGAGCCGCTAAGGGATTGTAAGGGTATTCCAAGTTCGCTGGAAGAGTCTTGCGGTTTTACAGGCTTACCTACAGTCTCCATTAAAGTTCCTTTGTTGGTTAACATGGGTAGGATCCATAAATAAAGATTTTGGTTAACCAAAAACGGAACTGCAATGGAGACTATGGGTACCTGAAGCTTTCGCAGCTCGTAAACATGCCGGAATCGCCACCATGATCATGGCGAGACTGTAGACGGACGCAATCTCCCAAAGCCCAAAGTCCTGCGAGCTGTAGGAAGGGTCGTACTTGGGCTTTGTCACCTGGACAGACTAGTGTAGGCCAGACACAGGAATGAGCGAGTGACCGCTGGGTTCGCGTTAAGGAATTTGCTGTGGATCGCTATACGGTTGATGATATAAATCCTGCATTATCTTCAGGACCCTAACTTATGGAAACTATGGTATATTCCTTATCATGGGTAATGCAGAGCTATACCATGAACCGTAATATGGTAACTATTGTTGACTTCTCTTCCATCTGCAATGTCTGCAGTGACTGCACAGGCGTGACATCGCACAGGGCTTGGAGTTTACACGAGAACCTCACACGTTCTTCTACTTGGAGGGGCAGGAGACTTAGTAAGTAGGTCATAAGTAGGGTTAGAATTGGGGGAACTCCATTTAGGGTACTTATAACCTACTTACTATGTCCCCTGCCCCATCAAGTAAACCCTAAACCTCCAGAAGCTACATGTGTCATCGACGGCTAAAGCTAAAGCCCCTCATTCAGAAAGCCTAACTACCAAAGTCAACTTACCAATGTACCTACACGACCCTAAACTCTAAATCCCTAAATCCCTTAATCCTAAACTCTAAATCCCTAAACCCCTTAATCCTAAACTCTAAATCCCTAAACCCCTTAACTCTAAACCCCAAACCCCAAATCCGCGCTAGTGGAGCCTCGCCAGGCTCCGCGCCGCTCCTTACACTGCCGTGGGTGTCAGGTCTCGAACTTATAGGCATACCCTACCTTCAGCCGGAATAACCTACCTTTTTAGGGTTCCTTATTATGATTTCCTTATATAAGTCCTTGAAAAGGTAGGTTATTCCGGCTTAAGGTAGGGCTCCAAGTAAACAAACAGTACCTACTTTGGCGTCTAAAGTCCATAAATGCTACCTACTTTGGGCTATTTGGAGCCCAAGGGATAGCCTGTGTTCAAGTAAGGGATCTCTGAGCCACGGGTTTCGGGGTTAAGGGTTTCAGGTTGGGGGCTTTATGGTAGGGTGCCCAAATAGTATATACTTTGGCCTTACATTGCTGTTTGGATACATGGACCCTGAGGTTTGGGAACCGCCCTAAGGCCCCCCAAAGAGGTCATGGCTTTTCCTGGGGGGGGGGGGCCTTGGGAGCTAAGTTTTGGAATCTCACTGCGAGGGTTCAGAAGCCTTACCTTAACTCTGAATAACCTACCGTTTTAGGTTCCTTATCATGATTTCATTATACAAGTCCTTAAAAGGGTAGGTGCTTCAGGGTCCAGGTAGGGCGGAAGGAAGCCACATAATTGTCTTGAAAATCCTTCCGACACCTATAGTCTCTGCTGCTTAGTAGGGAATGCGCGAATGGATCCCTATAGTAGTCCGTATATAATCCCCAAGAGTAGTCTCCATAATTCCCTACTAAGAGCCAGACAGTATATTGGGCTGCGGAGCTGAGCTTCAAACAAAAGCTTCTAGGATGAGGGGTTAGGGCTTTTGGCTTTTAGGGTTTAGGGCTTCTAGGGTTTCTAGGGTTTCTAGGGTTCAGGATTTCCGGGGCTTAGGGCTTAGAATTTCTTCAGGGCTTGGGGCTTAGGGCTTCTAGGGTTTAGGGTTTCGTGGGGTTCGGGTTCAGCCTTTAGGTTCTGAATCGGGTTCTCCAGCGTTGAGAACCCTTACCTGTAGTCTCCATTGTAATTTCCTTTTTTTTGTACCTAAACTTATATTACAGGATCCTACCCATAAAATTAGTTAACCCAAACAGGAACCTACAATGGAGACTACAGGCAGGCCTTGAAGAACCTCCGCTGAGGCGAAGGCTTGGTGGACAGCACGCCGGTAACGGCATAGCGGACTGCCTTGCAGTTCTGATGTACTTTTTGGGCCTGAATATTCAGAATAGGGTTTGGGGGCATAGTATACTACAACTGTAATGAGGAACCTCAAAATAGTATAATAGTTAATTAATAAGGCCTCTATAGTAGAGGTCCGGGTTGGAGTTCAGTGCTTGTGGCCCTGGCAGGGAATTTGTTTCACATTACAATGTTCACATAATCAGGGCATTCCTTTAGCTACTTGCGGATTTCTCCACAAACTGCTTCCATCATGGCTTGGCATTTCGACTAAGAAAGCGATGTAGGAACCTGATTAAGAAACCCTGGCCCAGCAACCCCAAAATTGTAGGATCCATGCAACGAGCCTTAACAAAGGCCCAAGGTTTCTTAAACAGGGTCGTGCATTACTCAGCTTTTGTTCAGGGTAGTGTCTAGGCACAGAAGTAAGGTGTCAAAACAAGAGAACGAGCGGTGGGTTTGGGGTTTAGTGCAGGACAGCTATCATAAAACCCTGGAGTACAAGCCGCATCCAGTGCAGAACTACACCCCAACCAGAGGAACGACTGAACCCTAAACAACTTGCAAAATGAATCTGACACCGCCCCCAGTCTCTGAATCCCCTAAACCCTACCTTGACCCGGAATAACCTACCTCTTTAAGGACTTACAGGCGGAAATCAGAATAAGGAACCTGACAAGGGAGGATCTTAATCCATTTTCCGTCTACCTCAGTTGCATGACATGCAGGAAATGCAGCGGGGCCCTTCAGGCCTAAAAGCACCCAGAGAGCCCAATGCCGCCCATACTACAGGAATATGACTTACAGTATGTAGGGCTTCAGATTGCAGGCAGAGCCTGAGACCTACTTGTCGGGTATCATGGGGAACCATTGACCTTTTTGGTTTTGTAGGGGTTATATAGGGACTATACTGCCCAAAAAAGGTTAAAGGTTACCTACTCTACTACTAGGGGGAACATTCCTAAATTAAGTGGTATTGGGATCCCTGGCACGATCTTAGATTTGCGAGTTTAGGAGGCACGGTTTGTGGTGAAGGGTGTAGATTTGAGTGTAGGATGGATGCAACCTACACCCCCTGGTGGCCCTTCGACAAATCTCTGCACCAACAGGAGTCAGAAAGGCTGGATACCCTAACCCCCCCCCCCAAACCCTAAAATCAAAGTAATAAGCCCTCACCTTGAATCATGAGATCCTCAATCCGCTTCCCGCCTGCACCAAGAGGAAGGAGATAGATAGGTTGAAGAGCTCATCCTCGCAGTGTGACCCCCAAAAAAATCTGAGAACTAAACGCTGCTGAATAGTGTCTGGCTCTTAACAACTCGCAGCGCTAATCAAACCCTAAACCCTGCACGGATTTGTCCAGCACAGAGTTAACCCGTAACCCCCAGGGTTCAAAGAAAGCTGATAGCGAGGGTGTACCATGGTGTACCGATGTGGGGTTGTTGAAAGGGGATGAGCACTTTCATACGAGCAAACAAGCAATGCAAATCACAGCTCGACATAGATATCAACACAGAAAAGGGGATGGAGGACTGAGCTATAACACGCTAACTAATCCGTCCCGATCAGTTTATGCCATATGATACCCAGTAGATACCTGTTACGCAAGTATTCAAACACTCGCATCTCTGGCCACGCCCCTGCAACAACAAGGACCCCATCAGTTCCATTTTCCGGATAGGCCAGATATGGGAATCCCAAAACCTTTGAAAGTTCCCTTGCCCACTGTATATGTGCACGGATGTAAACCGGTATGCGGTATGCATGTATGTATGCATTTATGTTTGTGGGTAGGCCGGTAGGTGGGTATGTACGCATGCATGCATGTATGTATGCTTGCAGATTTATACATATGCATATACATATACATAGACATATACATATATAGAGAATATACATATACATATACATATATAGAGACATACATATAGATATAGATATACATATTGTCGACACACGGAGTTTTTCGCCTCGGCTTCGATCGCATGCTCCTCGCAAAGCTTGACCTTAGGCCAGAAGCGCGTTGAAGAATCAGCACGCCCTAAACCCTAGGGATCAAAATAGCCCAAAAGCCTGACATCGTATGGTCGTTGGGCCCAAAAACCTTAATATACGAGTCCTTAAATCCCTAGGGTAAGGCTAAACGGAGCGATCCTTTAAGGGTCCCTTTAAGGGTCCCTTTAAGGGGTAGCTCTGGTTTTTGTAGGCTTTTACAAGGCCCCAAGACTCCACGGAACGATCCTTTAAGGGTCCCTGTTAAGGGTTAGCTATAATTATTGTAATGGTTGTATAAGGCTTTCTCCTTTTCTTAAGGATCCCTTTAAGCCTTTAAGGGAAAAGTGTTGTAGGGGGCTTTGGGGTTTAGGGGTGAAGGCTCCGTGTACCTACATAGCATACACTTAGGCTTTGAAGTACCGATATAGGAACCCACTAAAGGCCTGAGTATATGCTATATAGGCACATGGAGCCTCCGGGAGAAACAGGGGGTTCACAGGTGTCGGTTACGACATTCGAGGTTCTAGGGTTTATCGGGTGTAAGGTTTCAGTGGGAGGATTGGGGCTTGGGGGGCTAAGGGATCTCATATCAACTTCAGGGCTGACTACCCTAGCCCAAAAGAAGCTATGCTTTTTCAATTATAGTAGGAGTGAGTATTATATGTATCCCAGAAGGTTGCTGTTTCAATTATAGTAGGATTTTTGTCAGAATCCCAAAAGGTTACGTAAAGGTTGCCTACTCAGCTACGAAGTCAAGGTCCGGGATAGCAGCCTGAGGGCTCAGGAAAGAATCCCTAAACGTGACTGCAAGAAGCGGAGATTTAGCTCTCGCGGGGTTGCCTAAGCAAGCGCATTAATATGACTTGCGATATCTTGCACCTCGTCAATCCAAACCCCCTAAGCCCGAAACCCTAAGCCCAACCACACAACATTTCGAAGCCTTCGAACAAAGCCACTGACCCCTCGAATCATAAAGGCCGTAGCCGCCAAAAGCACCTGAAACACGAAACCCCAGAGCCCTGAATTCTAATTCAGAAGCCAAAAGCCCCCCAAACCAGAAATGAGATATACATGCGCCCTAAACCCTCAACGTCTAAAACCTTAACCCCCTAACCGTAAACTGCCCTAAACCCTAATACCCTAACCCTAAACCCCTAAACCCTAAAACCTTCCGAACCAAGAACGCCCAGGAACCGCTTCCGCTCCTTCCTCGTCATCCGACTCCTGTGTTGCTGTTTTTAAGGGCTCATGGGCTTTGAGGTTCAGGGTGTTTAGTAGGCTATCTGGGGTGCCTTTAATAAGGGTTCCAAGTCTAACGGTTTGGGGTTATAGGGCTTGGCGGCTACATTGGGAAATGACCTTGACGATGCATCTCCAAGATTGGACAGAACAGGAATGTTGGCAATCTCATCGATATCGTCCTGTACGCGAACACTTGGATAACTCTGAACTTACTGGTGTATGGAATGATAACTGCCATTCGCCTGCCCCATGTTCTACGACCACGACTTCACGGACACGCTTTCGTCATGCTGACATGGCAGCAAACCCAAACACTAGCCATTAAACCAGAATGCTACTCGCCAGCAGTGATGTTCGAATGACTCCGTACAAAGAAGTTGTGCAGAAGCCGCAATGTTTTGACGTTTGACGAATGGGATAAGATGCTTGCTACGTCCACAGGGACTGGGCCATGAGCACACGAACAGGTGTCGGACTTACTAATGCTTGGTTTCTGAGTAGCCCCTTTATAATAAGGCTACCCTTTTTCCTGCTGTTTGGTCTTAATAAGGGAACCCTAAACTAAACAGGGCAAAAGGGTGCCACTCAGTAACCTAGAATGTAAGACTGGCGTCAGCCATGCCAGCGAAACGAGCGAGCAAAACGACGTGCAAACAAACAGGGGGACAGGCAGAACCGCAACACACCAATACATGAGTCAACATGAGTAAGCACTTGACATGCCGAACAGTAGCGAGAACAAGAACTGTCGAAGCATGGCTCTTCATGCACCGACCTTTGCGATCACCGAAAAGCCCGCTTGAACCAACTAACTTTCTACCAGGCTGCACAATATACACCTTGAACCAGAACCATGGTTCAGCGCAAAATGGTAGGACCCTGATCCGAGACCCTCGAAAGGATCTAGAAAGAGTAGAACTCGCAATTTGGGATTCTATGTTACTGAAGCACTCATGTGTACTTTGTGGATCTCCATTGATCTACTTTTGGATCCTTCCAGGGGGTCTGGGATTGTACTACTGTAGAGAATAGACGCCTCAACAAAAATACCCGCGAACTCAAGAAATCCGTAAACAAATCCCTCGGCAGACGGTCCTCGGCATCTGGACGTAACATCTTGGAGAAGCCTCAATATACGGGCCACTTAAAAATACATACAATCGGATTTTGGGCTCCTTCATGATATCACTTAATAAGGAACCCTAAAGAACTCTATCTATCGGTAGCTATATATATATATATATATATAATATACATACATGCATATATATATATATATATATATATATATTATATAGGCAGCTCCTAGAGTCGGGCTTCAATAAGTCTGAGGCAGACCACAGCTCAGGCACCAGCGGAAGAGAAGCAGCAGAAAGACAACATTCAGAGCCTCCGGCACTTCAGGGCTCGAGGCTTAAACCCTTGAAGCTAATCTGCTCCGCTTCCGCCACTGCTAGTCTTGAGCTTGACGAACGATAAAGTCGATCGTTACGGTCCTAGGTCCTAGATACTGTGAAGCTCGCATTAAGCGTCCATGAAGCTCTATGGCATAAACCTTCGCTAAGTGATTAAAGTTTGAGGGCAGAGCTGTAAGGGGCAAGGTTTTCAGACACTTCTGAATTCCACATGTAGCAATCATGTGTACTCGGGCATGTGATATACAGCAAGTATCAACACGTAACGATTCAGTGTTCGTAGAGTGTAGATGCCATACACACGTATTTTGTACACACGTATTTTGCCTGAGTATTTATTGGAGTAGTTATAGCCAGTCTTGTTAACTTGTGTGTGCGTTTTTGGGAGCTTGGTTTGTTTCTTTGGCTACGGTCTGCGCCGTCCAGTGTCTTGAGCTCAGAGGTAAGATGTTTAGAGCCAAGCTTCAGGACCTTAGGCTTTAGAACTTTCGTGGTCAATTGCGACAGTCAGTGTTTACTCAGGGGACTTGTTCCCGTCTCCGGCTGAACCAATCATGTGAGCGAATCGCGAGAACCATAGCAGACACCCTCAGACCTGCAAGGACGCGGATTAAAACAACACGTTCACGTATACGCACTTGTGCACACATATGCAATCAAGATACTACAGGGCCTTAAAAATTCCTTTGCTGATTATAAGTGTAGTAGAATGGGACCCAATACCCTGTTCCAATTATTTTGGCCCCTATATTAAAGCCGAATATCAAGTATCGTGGGACCAGCGAATGCCTGGGTACTGGGCTTCAACTCGACGATGTGCCAAACAGAACGCCGCTCGCGTGGTGACTGAATGAGAAGCATAGGATTTCGGACTTGTATGCACCACGAGAATATATGGGTGTTTCCGAAAATAGGGGACCCTCATCAAGCACCCTAAATAGTAGGATCCTTATAATAAGGACCCCCACAATAAGGTACCCCCCCATTTTCGCAAACTCCCGTACGTGGTGCAGAGGCAAGTTTTGTCACGGTCAGCCCGAAAGCTTACGATGCTGTACAGGCTATTGATATTTCGAACTTAGAACTCAATTTTTCAGTATAACGAGCCCCCCTGCGCGAAACCCTCGCTCGTGTTCTCTCCGGGGCTCCAGCCACAGACAAGAAGCCTGAGCAGGGCGCAAATGTGGGCGGCAGAACTCTGAACCGGATAAACCCCTAGGGATCTCTAAGGACACATATATTAAGGCCCTTGGGCCCAAAGAAAATACTATACAAGGCTTTTGGGGCTGTTTTGATCCCTAGGGAACAAGTCTCCATCAATGCTAGCACGTGAAACCAGAGGCTCTCAACCTTCAAACACGAAACTGAAAGCCCAACGATCCTACTTGCCAAAGCGCAACTTGCCCCAGAACAACATCTTGGACCTAAAACCAACACCCAAAATCGCAACAGACATATCACACCCCCCACTCTAATGTGCAAGCCCCCAAAGTCATGCAGTCTCAGGTTCCGGGGTTTAGAGGTTGGGGTTTGATTGGGGAGTTTTTGGTTTCGGCTTCATGTAGGTGTCTCGGATTCATTTGCTTCTTTCCTGCTGACTGGAAGCACCATCAACATCGCGAAGATCTGCAATGTGCTTACATGTGGGGCTGAGATGGGCATGGGATGTCGCCCCGTCAGAATCAATGTCAACACCATTCCAGATGCCTTTCGCCAAGAATGAGTGCAAGCACCTTTAGCATTGATTTCCCTAGCTCAAAAGCATACCAGCGGGTTGCTCTGAATGAGTGTTTCATCTCAGGTAACTGCTTTCGCTTCAAGGGAGTACAAGTAGCTGTTGCCAGTGTGACAAACCACTGACATCCAAGCCCAAACATCGAATACCGCAATCCCTGTGAAAGACATCGAGCCCCAAACCAACCCCCCCCTCCACCTGTAAAGCAACAAAAACAAACTTGGCGAATCGCACACCCCCAACTCCAAGATTCCCGGGCTTAATCCCAACACTCTGAACATCCAACCCCAAGACAAACACACGATCGGCAAACAAAGCAGCAGACCGACAACATCACAATCTCAGGCTCCAGCCGCCCTCAAAAAAGAAAGCAAGGCAAGAAAGAAGCTTCATCATGCGGCGAACCCCAGGGCCCAGACTCATCAGCGCAGAGGAAGCAAAAGGCCAAGCATGCTGCAAGTCCCCACCTGAGAGAAGCCATTTGGGGGTTTCCGAAAATAGGGGTACCTTATTTGGGGGTCCTTATAAATAAGGATCCTACTATGTAGGGTACTGGGATCCCCTATTTTCGGAAACTCCCATTTCTGACGAACTTTGTTTAGATGAGGCCGCCTAGAGAGGTCTCTGGGGCTTCCGTTAAAAGTTCAAGTCCCGAGAGCCCATGGGAGTTCTGTCCGGGTTTGGGCTTCGGGTTATTTCCAGATTTCTTGTTGTTTTTTCTTTGGGGTCTTTGAGCTGTCGGATCTTGAGAGGCAAGGTTTAGGGATGAGGGTTTAGGGCCGTGGGTTCACAATTTAGGTTTATGGTTTATAAGGTCGAGGTTGGGGGAAGGGGGTGCGCCGGGGTTTTCGTTCTAGACGGATCAAATGACCCAAACACGTGTAAGCTCTATGTCAAGCCGAAACCATCCCCCGACCCCAAAGGCAGAATCCTTGTTGCAAAGAAGTGCCTGAAAAGCTGACCCACCGCTTTCACTTGACCGCCTTGGCTTCCCCAAACCAAACAAAGAAGCGGCGTAGTGCTCGAGTGTAGACAATCGCAGTTGCCGTGTCAAAATGTGATTCGGATTCGCTTTAAAGAGATTGGGTTTCTGAGAATGACAGTTGAAGCAGGTACACTACCGACTAGGTTAGGGTTTAGGGTTTACAGAGAATGTTAGAGAGAAAACTCCAGATCAAGATGGAACAACTCCAGATCATAGTCGCCTTTTACTACACATCTAGATGCATTTTGGCCCGGCGTTTGACAGCATTAATGATTGGAACCGGGTTTTGGGTACATAATCAAAAACTACCAGGAAAGCTGAAATAATATCGAACAATGTATGCTCACACTTCCCTGCGCGACGCTGGGACCAAAGCCTGCGCTGATCATTGCAAATCCTGCCAAAAACGGTTCGGGAGTTCCGGGATTAGGGTCTAGGGGGCAAGGAAGGTGAACTAACAGCAATATTTTTGCCAGTGCAGCCACGGCCACCACCACCACGGCTACGACGACGACTGCCACGACGACTGTGACAGCCACTTCCAGGAAAGCTACGGCCATGAGGACGACTTCGACGACCACCACCACTACCACTATGTCTGCCACGACGGCGACGGCTACTACTGCTGGGCTGCCACCGCCACCGACCTCGAGCAAACTACCGCAGCCAACAACAACAACGGAACCACCACAACCTTGCAACCACGACGAGCACGGCCTCTACGACCCTGTCCTGCCATGTGCGCATAGAGCATGGACCAGCACTTGGTTCGCTGTTCGAAGCCCTGCTTTGCCAAATCCTGCCGAGATTGAAGGTTCAATGGTTTAGGGTTCAAGGGCTTAGGGTGTAGGGCTTAGGATTTAGGAATTACAGTTTAGAGTTTAGAGTATGAGCTAAGTCATGCTAGCAATACTCGCAATCTCTAGGCTATCTCACTACTGCTTACTTGGAGGGGCAGGGGACTTAGTAGGTAGGTTATAAGTAGTAGGTTATACTTGGGGTAACTCCATTTAGGGTACTCATAACTCTACTTATAACCTACGTACTAGGTCCCCTGCCCCTCCAAGTACCATCTCCCATGATCCAACAAATGCTTCCGCGCCGAATATTTCAACTCAAAAGCTGCTCTGTATGGAAGTGTCCGGAAATTAGGGGTACCTTATGCACGGGAGATTCCATGTGAAATAAACTACAGCATCTGGCAAGTTTATGGTGATGAGGCTTCTACGAAGAATAATAGGACTTGACATAGTGTGGTGTCGGACTGTGGCGAAGTCACACTTTCCCTTAGGCCTTAAAGTAGTCCTTATATAGGTACATTGGGGCCAATGAAAATACCATTTGGGTACATGGACCCTTAGGGTTTTGGCCTTGAGGCATTCCCTACACATCACACCCTGGAACCTCACGATTTAACCCTCTGCTGCAACAATCTGGCCTTTGTCATGACGAAAACCTCCACGCCACCGACTATGGCGATGCTTCTCTCACGCCCATCGTGAGTCACCAGTGTGGGGTCCTGTTTGGATTTCGTCTCAGAATTCTGACATGCAATGTCGGACCTTCATTTGTTGAATGGGGTTTGGGGGTAACTATGCTCCTCTTAATGCTGATGTCAGGACCCAAAGACATGTAGCCCAGCTAGGGTTTCTTGCGATATCCGTCCGTGAATAAAAAACTATGACTAAGGCTAGCTTCGGTATTGGATAGCCCGAAGTCACAACTCAATAGGGACCCGCAAGTAAGACTACTGCTTGTTGTTCAGGTTGCCTTGATCAATGTAGCCCACCTCGCTTGCCCCAATTTCTCATCAACATGTTGGAGAAGCTCGAAGTGTATGTCCGCGTAAACTAAAACTCAACATCCTGAGAACCGCAATGACAACAACAGCAGCCCTGGACAAATTAGCTTCTTGGACCCTCCACCCTAAAAGAACAACCTTCCCAAAACTCCGAGAAATTGGGACCCAAATCCTGAAAGCCTAAACCCCCAAACCTAAAACCATAAAACCTCCAGCCCCAGAGCCCCACCGGTTTAGGGTTTAGGGCCACCCCCACGCTTTTTGAGAGCCCGAGGTGCAATGGGCTGGCCGTGATCACCTTTGGCAAGACAGGCGAACTGGGTGCTCCTTCTAGGGCTTAGCTTTTCGGTTTAGGAGCCGACATGCCCAAGGAAAGGATCCGTGACTTGTCGCTGCATGTGCATGCTTTCTTTATCAGGGGCTATGACGTCTGTGACGCACTACTATTGAATGGGGCATACCAGCGATTGAAAACAACTCGTGCGAGGCATAGGAGAAAACTTGGCAAGGCCCACCGAGATCCACAACAACTGCCATCCCAAGCCTAGACCCGAAACTACAGAAACCAAAACAGCGGCAGTGACGAAGACACATCTCACAGACACAAAAAGCAACAGCTCGCAGTGAAAACCAAAACTAAAGTAAACTTCAAAAGCAGCACACGCCTGTACAAATGCACCAACACCTCGAAGTTGACCTGATGAAAGCAAGAGACTACTGCGGTAATACATGGATCAACGAACCACGGATTGAAACTCACAGAACAATCCGAATCATACATGTATAGAATCATGTGTATATGTATATGTATATGTATATATATATATATATACACACATACGTACATAAAACACATATACAAACATACAAATACATATATACATACACATATCTACACATACATATACACAACCACATACATATACACATGTATATCTATACATACATATACATATGCATATACATACATATACAAACACATATACAGACACGTACAGACATGCAGATACAAATACAAGTATACAAACATGTATATGTACATTATATATATATATATATATATATATACATATGCACAAACATTCACATATATATATATATATATATATATATATATATATGTTTATGTGTGTAAATATATATACATATTATACACACGTTGTATGTATGTATGCATGCATGTATGTACGTATGTATGCATGCATGTTAATGCATGTATACCCATATATATATATATATATATATATATATATACATGTATATAATACATGTATACATATATACACACATGCATGGCTACAATAATGTGCAATTAAATTGACATATACACTTTGCACACGGCGTAGGCCTCGGAGTCCATCGTTCACCACCCAGGCCCGCCCCGGCCTTGCACTGACGGGAATTCAGGGTTTAGGGTTTGGGGCCTAGGGTTTGGAGCTAAGTCCTGAAAAAGAAGAAGGAAACGGATTAGGAGAGGACGGGTGGCAGGGTTCAGGGTTCAGACTTTGGGAATTAACTTCGGTGTCGGTTGGGGGTTGTCTTCACGTATTTGTGGGCTTGAGAGTTAAACGTCGCTGTATCTACGCTGGAACACTTTTTGTCCCGAAGATTGCCAGCAACAGCACGACAGTCTTGGATACTGTAGTTCGGCCATTACCAAGTCGAGGCAATTTCATCCCTGCTTGTTCCACCAAAACTGATTCCTACGAGCCCTGAAGCCCTAAATCCCAAGAGCCCAAGCCATAGAGGAAGATCGCTCTAGGTATCCATTAAAGGAACCATTCAAAGGACCCCGAAAAGTATCCCGAAAGCCAAAGCAGCCCAAGGCGCGACTCACCTTCCTCGACTTCCCCCTGAAGACCACGCCTTCCGGATGACGGTTTAGGGTTTATAGGGTTCATACAGGGCTTAAGATTTATAATAGGCAAGTCAGGCTTTAGAGTTTAAGACACTTAGGGCTTAAAAGAGTTTTAGGGCTTAGGTATTTAGGGCTTAGGGTTTCAGGTATTTAGGGTTCATATAATGCACGGGTTTATTAGGGTTTAGGTATTTGGTGCTTATAGAGTTTAAGACGTTTGGGAATTAGAATTTACATGGATTTAGGGCCGTTTAAGTTTAATATCAGTTGTTTCAGGTTCAGGGTTTAGTCTGTTTGAGGTTGAGGATTTAGTGTATTTGGGGCTGAAGGTCCAGGGTTCGGGGTATAAGGCATTTAGGCCATTCTGATTCTGCTAATTAAGGCTTATAGGGAGTGGTTTTCAAGGTCTACGGGATTCATGGGGAGATGAAGCCGTCAAACACATAGTATATAATGTGGTAGTTTCCGAAAATCGGGGACCCTAATATAGTACCGTAAATACTAGGATCCTGACTATAAGGACCCCGAAATAAGGTACCCCGAATTTTCGGAAACTCTAAACCCTAAACCCTCAGCCCTTTATAGAACCCTTACAGGAACCCTTAAAGGATCCCCTTTAAAGGAACCCTCAATTTTCGGAAACTCCCATATAATGTGGAAAGATCCAAGCCTCTTCAGAGCGTTTGAGAAGTAGGCCTTGGCTCATGCGCAGAAGTCCGTGGTTCTTCAATTCTCAAGTTTGGGGTTTAAGGTTTAGGGTTTAGGGTTTAGGGCTTAGGGTTTAGGGTTCAGGGTTTAAGGCTTAGGGTTTAGGGTTTAATTAATTAAGGTTTAGGGTTTAGGGCTCAGGGTTTGGGGTTTAGGGTTTGGGGGAATCCGTGGTTTACGATTCAAGCAAACTTGATGTGGAACTCTTCTCATGCGCAGCGCCAAGCTGGTCGGCGGCCAAGCAGCGATCATGATTTGAGCACAGGTGAACCTCGGCGCCCGAGATTCGGGGCATTTCCCTAGGGATCATTAATAAAGCATTTGGGCCCCAAGACCATACTATATAAGGCTTTTGGGCTGTTTTGGCCCCTAGGGTTTTAGGTCTATAGATATCTTGTTGGGGGCTACTCGGTTGAGGATTTAGGGTTCTCACGGTGCCTACAGCATCAGTGTAAGTAGGACAGGCAACGGTGTCTGAGACTGAGTGCTCTCAATCATAGGGACCCTTCGGGGGGTAGCGGGGTTATGAAAGGTATTAGACCCCCTACCCCCTCCCCCTAAGGGTCCTTACGATCCACGCAACAAGCTTACACTACAGGAAGTTCAAGACATGTGTAATGGATTTAAACGATCGAAGGCGAGAGCACATCGCAGCTGCATACTGAGACTCCGCAATCCCTCAACTGGACAGCAGATCTACTGGAATTATCCATGATCTGGAAATACAACTGTAAGCAGTCACACTCACACACTCACACACTCACACACTCACACACTCACACACACTTACTGGCCCTGGCCACAAAACTGTCTGGTTCTTAATAGGGAATGGAGGAATGGATCCCTATGATAGTCCCTTGAGGGTCCCTTATAGTTCCCATGTTCCATTCCCCCATTCCCTACTAAGAACTAGACAGAAAAAGACATGCAGAAGTCACGACCACGTCGCGCCCGAGCATCCAACCGAGCCGACAATGGCTGTAGGTTAGAAGGGGCTCCCACCCTGTAATAGTGGTATAATAGGAATATAATAGGGCCATAATATAATCCTTATAGTCACTATTACAGGGTGGGGGCAGCTTCTAAGCTATAGGCTATAGGAGTTCTGACTTTTGGCTTGGAGGCCATGCTCCATTACCCTAAGTGTCCATGTACCCAAATAGTGTATACTTTGGCCTTCAAGTAGCCCCTATGTAAATACTTTGTGGCCTTTGAAAATTCTATTTGGGTACATGGACCCTCAGCGCCTTATCCCTGAACCCGATGCCCGAAGACCAAACTTCGGTACTGCAGAAGCTTTGAAGGCCGGGATTCCACAGCAGGAAGATGATGTAGCTCAGGACGACACCTCTTGGCCATAGTTGGGTAACATTTTACATTTTTATGGATGCTTAAACCGCATAAAGAACAGCATTTTACATTTTTCCCCTATCCCAACCACTCACTGGCCCAAAACCTAAGGGGAAAAACGATGAAACTTTCAGAATCGACTACAAGGGTCCAGGAGCCTTAGGGTGAAGCCTCTATGAGGCCAGAAAGGGTGGTACAGATCTAGAGAACTGTGGAATGTATCCTGGCTCATGTTACCTCCTGCGATCCGTCAACGGCCACGACCACTGCCCTTCCACAATAAACAGTAAACCGACGTAGCCATGACAACAGTGATACTGGCCACTGCTAGCACCCAGCGACAAGGCCGAAGACGATGCCATCATTACAACTACCAATATGTGCAGCATTCTTGCTGCTACTACGGCGACGACGGTAACTCTACGCCGACAAATGCTACTCAATAAAAACATGTCCTGCTCCTACCCTACGACTGCTACGAGTACTGCTGCTGCTCCTGCTCCTTGCTCTTTGCTCCTTGCGGGTCTTGCTGCTGCTGATGCTGCTCCTCCTCTTCCTCCTCGTGCCGCTGCCATTGCAGCTGCCGCTGCCGCGAGGCTGCACCCCGAAGCACTAAACACGTCCAATGCAACTAAATCGATGCAAGGCACGCACGACCAGGTGCCACCCCGCCGGGAATTCCTGAGAACCGTGCATGCCGATGACTCTGCACCCCCCCCAGCACTAAACAACTAAACTGTGAACCCCGTGCCCATGCCGAATACAGCCATAAACCCGTCGGGCACAAAGCTGGGATCAGCACCACTCGTAAGCCTTCTATCCGTAACCTGAGCTCAAAGTATCAAAGGTCCCTTACAGGAACCCTATTTGGGCACATGCACCCTTGGCGATCCATGTTCAAGAGGACTCTTACCCTCATCAGGCAACAAGTTATTATAAACACAAAAGACCCGGACGAACCCAAAACGCTGCTGTAGGTGCCAAAATAAATTATCTTTCCATTTATCGGGGGGCACTCCTTTTATTGTAAGTACAGTATAATGGGTCCCTATGAACCCTATTCTAATGATTAAGGCCCCTACTTTAAACCCTGAGTATTGGCAACGTTGTCCATGAAAGGCTCTGGCCAATTCTCCACGCACCCACAAAATTCCGAAAATAGGGGACCCCAATTTAGCACCCTAAATAGAAGGATCCTTGTTATAAGGACCCGAAAATAAGCTACCCCGAAGTTTCGGAAACTCCCAATATAGTATATACTTAGGCCCTTAGGCCTTAAAGTACCTATATAGGGACTCCTGTAAGGCCTAAGCATCTACTATAATGGTACATGGAGCCTCTGGGCTGGCTATCACACCGTCGAAAGTGGGAGTCGGCACAGCCTGGGACTTCGACAAGATCACGATGGTTCGAAAGCCTTCCAGCATCCCTTACTTGAAGAAAATACGCTAAACCCGATTAAGGATCTTACTGTAATTCAAGGTATAACGGGAAGGCCTGGGTTCGAAAGCTTCCTTATCCTGTCAGATTCTCAGCGATAAAGCCCCTAAGCCCTGAATCAAAAACCTTAAACTGCCTAAACACTAAACCCCGACTAAGAATATGTGGGTAGTTCTCCAAGCGGGGCTGCAGCCGAGCGTCTCCAAGCAGTGGATTGAAGACGAAATGGAGCACCACCTTCAACGTTTGGAGTTTGTTTTCTCCGGGGGTCATACACATCCCTTTTCTTAAGTGTTATATAGAAACCTAGGTAGTCTAAAACGGGTAGGGGATGAAGCCCTTTAAGGAAAAGTGATAAGGGAAATTGACCTCGAGTCTGGAAATCTGAAGCCTCAACCCCTCAGTCGCCTTTGACTTATGGCTCGAGAAAGAAGTTTATAGTAGAAGCCCAAAAGTTGGAAACCCAGTAGCCTCTATCCTTCAGCGGAGTGTATAGGGAATCACAGCACTAATTGTCCTTAATCCGGCTTACAACTTTTTACTATAGAGCTTACGGCTGGCTAAACGACAGACCCTCAAGACAAACTAGTCGGTTTTGGTTGCGCTGAGGAATTGGTTTCGGGTATGGGTCCGAATCCTTTGGGTTTAGGAGTCATGCTACCTCATACTAATGTCGTATCCAGACCTTCCAAAATCACCTAATTAAGGAATATACATTAAACCATATTCGGGACTCGGGATCCTACTGTAATTTAGAGTATATGCCTTAATTCAGGGATTTTGGAAGGTTTGGGTATTTATGTTAGCATTTAAACTACTGCCAAACCACATGCAAATACGCTGCTTGAAATATTGGCATAGTTGCGGAAGCTCAATCATAGCAACCAGGTTAGCAGTAGTACAAGACAGCAACATTCAATCATAGTAATGCTACTCAGCAAACTACTACTAAGCCCTACTAGAAAGTGGTACCAAGCATAGCGATAAGACTTATAGTGATAGCTACACATCTCAAAGTCCTGGGCCGACGTAAGCTCGAACCCTAGAACCCTGCACCCAGAACCATGCACCTCGTCCGCCGCGGTGAAAATCATGACAGCCTGGACAGTGCGTGCAACTTCTCGACTCGGCTGTGGTTCTGGATCGGGTTTCCAAAGAGCCCAATGCCAGAAGGGTGTAGGGTTAAGGTTCAGGGTTAGGGCTTAGGATTTAGGCCATAGGGTCTAAGGTTTTGTGTTTTATAAGGGTGCCCTAACAGATTGTCGCGTTAGGACCTCCATGTACGTATCTGGTACAGCATCGCCAGTGCTTCTACCCCCAGGAAAACTATTCCATAAACCCTAACCGTATAAGAAGCCCTACACAGTAGACTGCAAAGTCTGCAAAGCTCCAACCCTAAGCCAGAAACCAGTATGCTGAGTTCGCTAGCCCAAAACTGTAGATGATGCACATGCTTTTAAAAAATGCATTCTGCAAGATCCTCCGAGAGGTCACCTACACTCCGATTAGGCTCTAATTAGTTCAATTGGCCCTCTAACCTCCTAGGGTTCCCCTAAACCCTAAACCCTAAGGCCCCAAAACCCAAAACCCTAATCCCTCAGGCCCTAAAAAACTCAAGCCCTAAGGCCCTACAACCCTAAGCCCTAAACCCCTAAACCCCTAAACCCTAAGGCCCTAAAACTCTTCAGCCCTGCAAACCCAAGAAGCCCGACACTTGAAGCCTATCAGCTCCTGATCTCGCTCGCTCTGCACGGAAAACATGAAACCTTAGACCTTAATGATTGTGACCGAGCTGGGATGTACAATGAAGTATGCTCATAAACGGGGCTCCCCAGCGGATCTTATGATTCTGACGATGAAGATTATCATTCCTATTCGGGCCCTAGGAATTGAACAAACCTAAACCCTGAGCCTGAAACTGAAACCCTGAGCCCTAAGCCCGAAACCCTATTCAAACCCTGAGCATGCTTAGAGGATCATGGGACTTAGCAACTATAGGGTCATAAAAAAGGTAACTATACTACTATCAACTAATAACCCCAATTTGGCCACTCATAACCCTACTTACTAAGTCCCTTGATCCTCCAAGTAAGCATGACACCACGAGCAAAAGGCTACACCCTAAACACCCCATAGATTCCTTTAAGGAACCCTATAGATCCCTCTAAGGAACCCTATAGATCCCTTTAAGGAGCCCTTTAGGAATCCTTACTAAGTCCCTTTGAGGGTAGCCCAAGGAGCCAAACCCTATTCAAACCCTCAGCATGAAACCACGTGCATAAGGCTCCAGCACTGAAGATGGACACAGTTGTGTTAATGATGGACCACGAGTAGCGCCTCGGGTGACTGCACGTCACTGTCAATTTCCTTCTTCGGGGCTTCAGTATAGGGTCCTTAATCCAATTAGCATAAAGTTTTGGGGCCCATTATACCATAGTTAAAATAAGGAACCCCCAAAAGAGTATAGATAGTATTAGGCTCCTCCATTGGGCTTCAGGCTCAAAGGGATCAGGAGTGAAGGTTGAGCTCGCACGGAAAACGGAATTTTCGAGTTTAGCATTTGGGGCTCTGCTGGCAGGTAATGCAGGGGCCTTAATAATGGCCCTTTATACTGTCATTAAAATACGGACCCCCCCAAAAAAAAGACATTATTGGCAATTATATAAGCCCCTATAGTAGGATGTATGACAATGTACGAAGCTATACAGTTGTACTCTGAGTAGCACCCTACACCGCCCAGAGCTCTCAGGCGGATCCAAGAAAGGAAGTCTGTTGCATCGGCGAGACACCAACTTGAAAGACTCGGTGTATGGTTTAGGGTTTAAGACTCCGGTTGTGGATTATAGCCTGAGAGCTTTGTCTTCGATAAGGGCCGGTTCTGGGCAGTAGTGACCCTGGTGTCCGCAGATGCTTGCTTCGGCCTCAGTCTGAGGACGAAGCTTGATGTCGTCATCAGGGTAGTTGACCATGTAGAAAATGACCTTTGCTTCAAGCAGGGTGACATTAATATTGGGTTGCATGACAGAGATTCCCTTCTCTAGCAGTCCGGGCGATCGAGCTTCCAAACCTTATTATGAGAGACGATGCTGCGCCGGATGGTAACAAGGATGATGGCATCACGACATGAATACTGTACCTGAGACCAAGCGAAGACAACCACACTTTGTAGGTGTTGGTGTAGCTGCAAACTGCTTTCGGTCTCCACTTCCTTTACTAACTACTTTTATGCATACTCAATGGCAATCCCTAGGGAGTCCGGAATGCGATGCTTGATTCACAAGCTGCACAAACTGTGCCGTCATTCTGCCCCCGGCAAATGTTGTTGGCTTGACTGTACATCTCGTGCAAGTATTCTCACGGTCTTGACAGATCGTACTACTGGTAGGCAGAAACAAGCATCGCGATGTGGCCCGTCGAAAGTCGTCGATCGCCCGCGTGAGAGGAAGGCGTGGCATCGAAACTCGTTGCGCGAGTGCACGTTTCTCCTTCTGAATGCGGCCAAGACGGGCCCAAGGCCTGCATTAAACGAGAACGCACCTGGCCGAACAAGCGGACTCCCAAGACGACGATGCGTTTCTTGGTCAAGGGCATGAAAACTGTCGAAGCTCTAATGCAGACCCCTGGTTAAGAAAGCCCCTCCCCATGTCTCCCCGCTATTTCAATTGGATGATCTATGGACTCATGTTTAAAAGTAAAACCCTAAACTCGAATCGTAGCACTTTTAGCACTCCGGAAATCCCGACCGCCACCATCGATGCATCCAAGCTGCAATGTTAAAAAAGAAGACCCCGAGAATCCTCGGCGTTTCTGTGGATGGGGGAACTGTCGGGGTTCTGTAAAGGGTTTAGGGTTTTTAGGGTTTAGGGTTTAGGCTTTAGGGTTTCTAAGGGGTTCTATAGAATTCGTGATTATATCGTGGATGTCATGTGCTTTAAAGGCATCATATTATAAGGGTTTCCTCTATGATGTGAAATGTACTGGTGATAGAAGGTGTCTCTTTAAGGCTTCTGCATAATGGTTCCGTATTGAGTCCGATCACGGCTCCATACGGGCTTCTGATTATGAGGGTTCTATGACTACAGTTCTCAGAAGGGAATTGTAATTGAAGGCCTTCATCGCCATGCAGTGAAAAAGAACGTGGCTGCAGCAGCACGACTTTGAGCGATACGATACACGAGCAGGAATAACACACACAGGTCTGAATGTGATGGGAAGCATACTGGACTAGCCGAAAAAACAGCTGCAGGAACAAAGACCAAGCCAGCACTGGCGACATTAACCCGATGTCGATCTAAGCCTCCCTGCATCCCTGGGTGCAGGACCGTAGACAGTAACTGAACCTCCCCTTACCCTATCATGTGGTATTGTGCTTGGCTTTCCTAGGTTTCACTATAATCGAACCTTAATGAGCATCTTAACCATGAAACCGGCTATCCTAAACAAACATATATATATATATATATATATATACGTTATACGGGCTGCGTCTTGGCGACAAGCCACATAAAGCTGCAACTGATGTCGACGCGTGTCCATTCCTCTTCCTGCCAGCGCAGTCACATTCAAGGCACGAGTTGCTGTTTTCACGTCCGAGAACTCAAGTAGCTAAAGACCCTTAGCTGCCCATAGGCTCCATGTTAGTTCCTTTTTGGGATTACCCTATACGATTCTAAATGATATAAATCCTGCATTACCCATAATTAAGGATTATACAATAATTCCCATGGTTTTGCAGGATTTATATCATCAACAGTATGAACCCCCAAAAAGGAATTGCCATGGAGCCTACGGGTGTAGGGTTTCTGACAAGCGCGGTGCCAGAATGAGGATTCAACAACCCCTCCAGCTGCTAACTTTCCTCACGAAATACTCTGAATCTGAAGGACAACGTCCTGAGGGTCCAGCTGTTGATGATATAAATCCTGCATGACCCATAATCAGGAATATACCATAAATCCCATAGATTCCTTATTATGGGTCATGCAGGATTTATATCATCAACCGAGGTACCGGTATAGTATAGACTCGAGCCTGCACGGGGTTCCTGCATTGATACACTACTTGAAGGCTCATGGGACTTAGTAAGTAAGGTTACATATAAGTAAGTTTTAAGTAGGATAACCCCACTTAGGGGACTTATAACCCCAATTATAACCTCCTTACTAAGTCCCATGATCCTCTAAGTAGTCAGGACAAAGAAACACATGAGGTATGTTGAGCTTTAGGGCAGGACTTCATGTTGGGACCTGTGGGTCCCGAGTTTGATCACCCAGATCTCTTCTAAAATCCCTTATATATATATATATATATATTAATATCAATATTAATATTAATATTAATATTAATATTAATATTAATATTAATATTAATATTAATATTAATATTAATATTAATATTAATATTAATATATATATATATATATATATATTATTGAAGTTTATACATTCAGCCATAGTAGGGATCATACTATGCGTACTTGAAGGTCACATTCCTTGATTAAGGAATGGGAATATACCCCAAACCCTACTATGCTTGGAGGTCTATTGCTTCACGATGGGATAGACCTGAAATCAAATTATTCCGGGACCCTACTATGGTTCAAAGTTCCAGCGGCCTCGTCAAACACAGCCATGTCGGCTTCTTCGCCGGGTATGCCTTTGGTTGGGTTCTTGTCAAGGGAGTTAGTTTAAGATACCATAATAGAGATCTATAGTAAATAACAAGGTTTCCTTATCATGGTAACTGAAACTGAATCCCTCAACAAGAACCCAGTTGGTTTACGTTGGTTTACGGTTTAGAGATGCAGTGGGTCAGTGAGCAAACGAAGATCCGTTTGCATGCGCAGGCACAGCCACATTCGCCTGTGCATTCGTCGAACAAGATTGAACGGTAAACCCGAAACACTAATACAGGGGCCGTTTTAATTAGAATAGGGTTTAGGGGCCCATTATACAATAACTATAGTAGGGAACCCCCAAAATAGTATAGACAATTTTTCAGCCCCCCAAAAAACTGAGTGGGGAGCCGGGAGGCATCGAGGGGATAGCTTCGACACAGGTGCTTTTCTGACAGGACATGAACCTCAGGGATAGTGCCGGCATCCGTGCTACCAGTATTGTTACTCTTACCCTACTTAAAGGATCATGGGACTTAGTAACTGGGTTATAATTAGGGTAACTATACTTATAACCCCACTTAAGCTACTTATAACCTTACTTACTAAGTCCCATGATCCTCCAAGTATGCTTTGACTATTTGTCACATATCGCACGCTTAGGGCTCCAGTGTTCAGGAACTTGGCAGCATTGCGGGGTGGTCTTGGCAGTGGGACTTTATGCTGCTGGTGGCACCTCCCTCCTGTCGAAACTGGGGCTGAAGCAAAAATGCGGGTTCCAGATAGATCTGGGGCTTATAGAACATCGGATAGAGAGCGTTGGGTTTAGGGTCGAAACTTTGGGGATTTCTACGGCAGCTGCGTTCATCGAGGGACGTCTCAGGAAGCCTAGGTGAACAGCTGCGAAACCCATAAGAGTTCATTGTCTCAGCTCCGGGCTTCAGCTTTCGAGAGAACCCTGAACCCTAAATTAAACCCTAAACCCCGAACCCTAAACCCCTGAACCCCTGAACTCTGAGCCCCTAAACCCCTAAGCCGACAAGTCTTCGGGGTGTGGGGCTCTGCACCATGAACCTTCTGAGGCGCCAAAGGGGCCGGTCCCAGCATGCTCCACAAACTCCTTGCAAGCTGAAGCCAGCACTGGAGAGCTTTTCGGTTCATCAAGGGTTTAGGGTTTAGGGGTTTAGGGTTTAGGGTTTAGGGTTTTCAGCAGTATTAGAGTTGATTAGGGGTTACTCTGAGATTTACTGTAATCAGCTTTCCTGCAAGGATTGCTTTCAGGATTACTTTCAGGGTAACCGCCAGACTTTGCGGATAGTTGCCAGTGAACCCTGGTATCAGTCATAGACCAGGAACGGCAAGACGAAGTACCTAAATAGTAGACACTTTGGCCCCAAAGTACCGGACTACTTCAAGGCCGAAGTATCTACTGTTTGGGCACACGGACCCTGAGGATTGCCACTCCCTCCACCGCCAGGGGTTGCACAAAAAACCCAGAAGAGCCTTCGAAGGGTTCAGATGAGTGGGGCTCAAAAGGAGAAGTTCGACATTCTATGGATTCAGGGTTTAGGGTCTAGGCTCGGGTTTGAGGTTCTGGGTTCCTGAACTTGTCGTCGCCTGAGGAGCAGAGCTGAAACCCAAAGTGCTCGAAATCGACTTCTGCTTCGCAGAATACAATAGGGGCCCTTGTAAGGATCCTATCTTTAGGGTACTATAGCAGGGCACCCTATTTTCGGAATCTAATACAGGGACTACTCCAAGGCCAAAGTATACCATGATTGATGATAGATGGACCCCAAAAAGGCACATAAGCATAAGCACTTTAGAGGGATATCCCGATATCCCTACCTTGTTTACCTTCTTGGGCTTCATTATAAGGGGGTTTATATGGGATATCCCTATCCTTATTCTTGCTTGTGTGCTTTTTTTGGGACCCGATACAAGCGCCTCAGCGGTCAGAATAGGGCAGTGGCACATCTTTTCGTGTGGCGTGGCGAGTATATAGGGACACATAGGGACTACTGGTTACACCAGCACTGATAAATCTCAAATCTTAATTGAGCCGAGACTGGGAATAATGTCAATCAAACGGACGGTTGCAAGCCATGAAATCGGAAGCTTCGGAGAATGTCAGAAAACCCAAGTGACAAGAAACGCTAACTTATACTCTAGGACCCGAACACGCGCAATCTAGAATGCCTGATGATGGCCTAGACTCCCATGCGCTAGAGGTTCAAGATCCACCCGCAACCTCGAACTTAGACTTTCCGAAGCAGAAGTTCTGAACTACGGCTGAAGTTCCTGCCCCCCCACGCCTAAACTGCAAACTCACAAACACTAAACAACTAAAGACAGAGACCCTTAAGCTTGAAGTCACAACCACAACTGTCAATCCCCAAAAGCCTAAACTGCTCAAGCCCAACAAACCTCGAAACCGTGAACCCTCAAGATCTAAAGCCACAGCGGCTGAATCCTGAACCCCAAAATGCTTATCCCCTCAACGTGACTTCATCCTATACCCTAATACCTAGAACCCCCTTATAGCTTATATAACCTAAACTTTCCAAAACCCGAATCCCAAATTCCGGTCCTTCACTTCTCCATGCGCGGAATGGCTTAGGCACAAAGTCCCAAAGCCTCGACGAACGGAAGCTTAGGCTTCGATTTGCGGGCTTTAGGAACCCCGAAGGGTCCATGTACCCGAATAGTATAAGGGCTCCTTTAAGGGTCTACTTTAAGTGTTCCTTTAAGGGTTACATAGGGTTTTGGGTGCTGAGGGTTTTATGTACCCAAATAGTATACTCAGTATGCTCTTTGTTGACTTTATGGCCAAAGTATACACTATTTGGGTACATGCACCCTTGGGGAGCCAGCCAGTGAAGTAGGGCTTCCAGGGGGTCTGGGCTGTAGGATTTGTAGGGTAGAGACGAGCCGGGGCATGCAACATCCCGTAGTGAAGAACTCCTAGCCGATCGATAATCCCCTCACTCCTATTCGGGTTCAGGGTTAAGGGCTTTTGGGATTTGTGGTTTAGTGTTTTGGGTTCAGGGTCTCGAGTTTAGTGCTTCTCCTGCTGGGGTATAGAGTTTAGGCTATCGTGTAAGGTTTGAGTTGAGGGTTTCGTGTTGAGGCTGAGGGTTTGGGGTCTTATACAATTTAGACATAACATTTTGGGTTTGGGGTTTAGGGTGGTCATATGTTGTAGCTTGCGGTGACTCATATTCCTATGCGTGTTAACTACCATTGTCAATGTCACCGATCACTCATTATGCTAAGCACCTGCTGCTTGTTGATCGCTGGACTGCATGTTTGCCCACATCGGCCCTCATCATGGACACGATCCCAGAAATTGTGCTTTTTGCTACGACAATATACAGCACGATTTTGTCAGTATTACGAGTGGTGGCACTCTTAAAGACGAAATGAACCCCAAAAGCGCTTAAGGCTCATATACCATATGGGGATTCATAATATAACGGTATAGGGTCCCTACTTTCAAGACTTGAGCTCAGCAGCAGGAGCTGTCGTGGGGAGGCAATGCTGGAGGCTAACACATGTCTGCTTGGTTTCAGGTTTAGGGTTTTGAAGCAGGAACTGGATTCAGAGAGTGTCCAACCACGCGACAAAGCCTATTTTTCGGATTGAGCCCAAGACGTCTTCACGTAGGAAACGTTCAAGCTAGACATGAAAACTACGCTCGCATGAGGACATGTCAACACGGCACTGCAAGACAGGGAAATTTCACACCCGTCTTATCTATAGTGTGACGTCCGAATCATGCTCGAATTTTGGTCGCTTTGGACCAACTCTACCTCGCCGGATTATACCGGGAGCTTGCACGATCAACCGAGCCGAGTGCGGCGACTCAAGGCTCAAGGCTGAGTTCTTCAATCGTAAAGCGGAGTGCTTTCGGTACTTTCCGTATTCTGTGCGGCTGGCGCGGGCACATCGAGTACCTGTACGAGATTGCGATCAATGCTATGATTGATCAAAAGCGGTTTCATACTCTTAGTGAGGCAATCCGCAAGTTGTAAATGCGTCGGTATCCACCTCAACTCGTCGCCGCAGGGGTGGTACAGGACATGCGTTAGCTCGTCCTCCTCCCAGAGCCCTTGGCGAAGTCCAGACATTTCAATGGCGAGGCGTTTATCCTCGCATGACTTTGGAATCGATGCTGTCAAGTGATCCGAGAGGGACCTGCAGTCCGTATACTGCAGGTGGAACATCGATCTCTTTGCGACTTCTTCCCAGTTCTGTGACCGGGGCAGTTTGCCAAGTACTTCGAGCACGGCTGCTCGTATGCGATCTCCATGTTCTATGGCGTGTTGCAACGAGTAAGCCTCACACTGTAGTGTGGCACGACAAACCCGTTTCATGGTGGATGAGGAAAACGAAATGAGGTGCATCTCATGCGTCGGCGCATTCTTGTCCACCGCCGACTGTGCGGAAGTGAGATAGTGAAAACGGCCTCTCTGCGACTTATGGTTCGCTTCTCCTGCGAAAGAAGCGTCGCAAAACGTGACAACGGCCAGGTCCCCTGTGCCCCAGGGTAACTTAGCGCTGTACGTGATTGGCCTATCCGCATCTCCTAACGCAAGTGCTACTACGCGGTTTGCTTCACGGAGCGTATCCACCGTGGCTGTCGTAACGCGCTGCTGCAGGGCGTTCACCCTATAGGCGAGATCAGGTCTCGTGGCGCGAGCCACCCAGGCTAACGAGCCTATGACAGATCTCAGCGCTGTGCGCTGGCCATTCGAAACTGGAGTCGAGCCCTTTTCCGATTTATGTATATCGATCGGGCGAATTGCACGCGTGTTGTCCCTACAGTTTATACTGATGGTCCCATCGGCGCTTTGCACATACTCGCGTCCGCAGAAGCGGAACTTCTCAGTCTCTATGCGACCGATCTTAAACTTATCCAGCAGATTCTGGATAGCTGGCTCGCCTTCGGCTGTAGCAGCCCACAGGAAATCATCCACGTGGGTGCACAAGCAAGCACACAAACGACCACCTTCTCCTGTAATATAGTACAGGGCTGACAGAATTTGCGAGGCATTTAAGCCAAATTCCCTACAACTCTCCTTTATACGGAGGTAAAGGTTCCGCCCCGCGTCGGTGGTGCCGTACACGGGGACTCGGGCAATCATATACCCGGCTCTCTGAATCTCTGCATCGGGCACACCCTTAGGGTGTTTGGGAACCCGAAGGATGAGGAGGCGCTCAAGGGGTTTCCCTTGGAAGTATGCGTTCGTGATATCGGCTGCTTTGAGCCGCAGGGCCAACGAAACCGCCCATGAACACAGAAGGGCTATACCTTCCGGCTCGGCCGTGGGGCTATCTGCCCTAATATCCTCCTCATTCGAGATATGCTCGAAGTTTCCACATGCGACCAAGCGTGCTTTCCACTTGGGAGTGTATGCCGCTGTCCCCTTTAGGTGCTCGTTCTTATCGGTAAGAACCCATTTGGTGGGGATACACACGTGGCCGGCTTTTGTAAGCTCCTTGAACTCCTTGTCTGTGCAAGGGACCACCGCATTGAACTCGGTGTACTTCTGCCACTCAGTCTTCATCGCGGCATCCAGGCCTAACTGCACCTCCACAGGAGCCTTGTGATAGTCCAAGAGCGAAGCCATATAGCCAACATCGACATTAGAGCCGAAGGCATCTTCCCCATCAGGGGTGAGAGCAAAGGCCTTGGGTTCCGCCTCGCGACCATCCGCGGGCTCGACTACTGGCGGCGTCGCGCCAATCGCAGCTGTGTGCGATGCTGCTGCCAGTCCGTCGTCCTCTTCAGGGGCGTAGCGACACGGATGGGCCTCTGGCAGTCCGTTAGCACGTATGTGCTCCGCGAGTTTCGAGTGCTCGAGCCATAGGTGCTGGGCGATATTTCGCCGATGGCATCGCCGCCAGCTGGCCTCCGAACACAAGAGAAGTGTCCGGTGAAAATCGTCGTGGGACTCGCTAACTATCCTAGCGATCGTACTGAGCCCCTGGTCTGTCTGCAGGTTGGCCTCAATCCCGCCCCGATTTCTATTGCCTAACTCGGGGGCGTGACTGTACACAACTCCTTTTGCAAAGCATGTGGCAGAAAGCTCATCACAATTGTATTGTGGATGTCGGACGCTATACGGGTGACTCCTACAGTCAACGATTTCCTTGATCCCGTATTCATGAATGCGTTCCAAAAACGTCTCGATAGGAAGATCCGGATGACCCATGGTATAGATCCCATCGCTCTTTCTACCAAAAGACTTCGGCGTATCCTTGTATATGGGATAGCCAAGGTCCGACAGGAGCTGTATGTCATCTTTAGATAGCTTGCCGAGATCACTCACTGTGTATGCAGAAATACTATAAGGTTCTGGTACGAACGGCGCGACCATGTGCACGTCCTTTGGGCGAAACTTAAGAACCTTGTTCTTAGTATCATGGACGGTGCCATGCATTGTCGCGTTCTGAACACGCACGGGAGTTGTACCCGTGGCTTCTTCCACCCATAGACCGCCTCCACGATACTCGCCCACACCTATAGTGTAGTTAAACGAGCCAGGAGTGTCGGCTAGGTCTCTATGGGCCTCTGCGCCTCTGTTGGTAAGCTGAACGCTACTCCACTGTGGATTGTGGTGTCCGGCTTGCATACTGTGATGCAAGAGGTAGTGGTTGAGGTACATAGCGAACGACGGGCTCTCACGCGTCGGTCCGGAGACACCAACAAGACCACCGTGTCGATATACACCTACCGCGAGGGCTATGCTCCCGGGATCTCCATCATCTAGGAGCGGGCGCGTGTATGCCTCGCGTCGGTCGCGGTCAAAAGCGCGAAGGAGGGCCAGACACTCATCTGGGGAAAAACCCTGAGCATCTAACAGGCCTCTTGCCATGATCTCTACTTGATCAAGCTCTTCCGCAACTAGTGCGTCATCACGGCCACCTACTGGTGATCGCGACCGGGCGGTTTCGCCCGTCTTATCTTTGGCACGAAACCTCGCGGGAGTAGATGGTGCTGGCATCGGTGTGCCGGGCGTGTCAACTATATTGACAGCAGTATAGCGATTTCCGAAGAAGTCCTTGACTTCGAGCGCATCCATACCTATCGTATGATTGAATTCCTTTGGAAATACGCTATCCCCAGCGACTGGGTGATGCCTGGGCACTGGAGCTGTGTCCAGGCAGACCTTACACTTGTAAAGTCCGGCGGCGGCGATGAAATCTTTGCTCGCCCGTGCCTGCTTCAGAACCTGTGTCAGGACTGCGTTTGGCAGATGGCCAAAGGATCGGTGCAGGCGCCTTATAGCTACCCGGACTCGTTGCGGCAACGATCTCCACGCCGCTCGGCGCTCCGCCTCTGTGTTCGGAGTTCCTGGGAACGGAAATTGTTCCAGAATGAGACGTTCTCTTTCCTCGGGCGTCAGTGCGCCACCGGCATTGTCCATTTCATCATGGACACCTCGCTGAGGCATCTCAGCGTCGGGCACCAGCTCTGCCTCGCTGATGTCCTCAGGATCTGTGTCCTGGGCGTCGCCGACAAAGCAAGTTCGGCTAAATGCGTTGATGTAGTACTCCTCTGAAATGGTACGACAAAGGTTCCAAAAGTCAGTACTATCCGTATCAACATAAGGCTTTCTCAATCTCCGGGC